AAGGAAAAATGACAATACAGATTATAAGAATTAGAGAGATATAAAACTGTTAAGCATGCCAGAGAAGATATTTTCAAGAGTTCTAGTGGAGGTGACGAGAATTATTAGGTTGATGCATAGTTATCAGATGTTTTTGTTGGTGGGTTATTTGTTTTAAAAAAATTCCTGTTTTGTTTACTTTTTTATAATAAAAATATTATTTTATTTTTAGGTAATAAAAATGCGTGTCAATAATCATACTCATATTTGTCATATTATGCTTTATCACTTCAAAACAGGATGGAAAGCAGCGCGGTCATTTCGTGACTTCAACAAACTTTTTGTCAAAGGAACAATCAGTGAAAGTCGATGCAGAGAATGGTTTGCCCATTTCAAATCTGGCAACACTAGCTTGGAAGATAAGCCAGGAAGAGGTCAACCTTTAATCACATTTTTGAACAGAAGCCACGATTCATCCCCAGTGACAAGACTCTTCAGAAATGGAGCTTGCTCGTTTGGTTGCAGCAAATCAGTGAAAATTCGGACATGTTCAGTGTTATTGTTGTCGGAGAGTTTGTGGGAGGCCCATCCACCCACTTTCCATACCTTTCCGAGCTTTTTGAGACAATGAACGATGGTTGAATGGTCCACATTCGACCATCATTCAGCATTCGAGTTGTCAAGCTTTTGCCCTCTTCCACGGCTGCCAAAAGTGCCTTGTCGTCGAAACCCAATGGTCAACCTCTTCCTGGCTTATCTTCCAAGCTAGTGTTGCCACATTTGAAACAGTCAAACCATTTCTTGCATCAACTTTCGCTGATTGTTCCTTCGCCGAAAAGTCATTGAGATTGTGAAATGACTGCACTGCTTTCCATCCTTTTTCGAAATGGTAAAGCATAATATGACGAATATGAGTATGATTATAGACACGCATTTTTATAACCTAAAAATAAAATATTTTTATTAAAAAAAGTAAACAAAACAGCAATTCTTTTTAAACAAATACACCTGATAATTATGCACCAACCTAATATTAGGAAGAACATCCAATGCTCAATGTATGTTTGTGGTGGGAAATAGTTGAATGGATTAAATCTTTTGATTGCAAATGATTGCTGAGAAATACTTGGGTGTGAACAAGAGATCTTTTGTAGCATTTGTGAATTTGGAGAAGGCATATGACCAAGTGAAAACAGAATACTTTTGGGATGTTTCCATGAATATCGGGTAAGTGGGAAGCTGCTTGAGGCAATAAAAGCATTATATGAGAACAGCAGAATGTATATTAGTGTGATTAGTGAAACTGTTAAAGTAGTTCAGTGTGATTATGGGTTTGATAATCCAAAATCATGTCATAAGTCATCTTTGTTTCTTAAACACTATGTAGTGTAATAAATTCGAACACTTGGCATTCTTTCATCTTTATTTTAATTTAGTTGTTACATGTTTTAGATTATACGTTTCAGACATAAAATGCCCCTCCTCAGCCAACTCGGGATTTTTGCAAACTGGGTTCTGTAATGTGAATACATATGTATACAGCTTACAGATTTACTATTGTATATCTTCTTTCTTCTTCTTTTTTGGCCAATACAATTAAATGGCAAGTATACTGCCAGTGCGGAACTTTACATTCATCTGTTTTTATTATTTTGAAATTTATATTGTTATCATCCTTCCTTATCGTTGTCCAAGAAGCAATACAGTGTTGAATCAAATTTCATTTCAAACTCTGTTTTTTCTTTATAAAATTCAATATAACTGATAGAGCATAATGAATGGTTGTATCTTCACCTGCTTTGCATTATATCATCATTCTGTTTTCATCTTTTTGCTACTCAATAGTGTACTAATTAACATAGTCTTACTCTGTAAGATGGCCAGTTCATGATTGAGTTTATAATGGTTATTTACTTTCGTCAAAAAATTTTTCTATTGTTTTTAATCAGAATTAGATCTATATATTCAATCTTCAGAATCCTATTTATAATACCTTCAGCCAATTTTCATTTGTTTTTAATACTCAGATTTTTATTTATACAATTTTTACTATCAAGAATTTCTATGCTTTCTTTAAATTCTCTGTTATATGTTTCTGCTTCTCTATGTAAAATTTTTATGTTATTCTGATCTATATTACAGTCATTTGTTATACAATGATCATGACAGACAGAGTTGAGTCTATGATACAGTAGAACCTCGATTATCCGCCCCCCGATCAACCGACCCCTCGGTTAACCGACCGTCCTAGTCGGCAAATTTCAAATGTCCGCTAGTGATGTGGCGCTACAACAGCGACGATTATTATTTAAAAAAATTTTTGTTAGGCTTAACATCGATGAAAATTCAACGCAAAATAGGTTAATAGCGATACACTAATATACTAATATACTAATTACATGGGATATAATAATATACTACACTAATAATGGATTTTTTCATACTTTTCGGTTATCCGACTTTTCAATTATCCGACCAACCCCAGTCCCCANGCTTGCAAAAAATACAGTTAAATAACTTTTGGATCAACCCTTTTTTTTAGAATCTTAATGAAAAAATAGTAGTAATTAATTTTAAAACAGTGTCAATTTGTGTAACTTGCACTTTGTATTAACTTCAAGTGTACTTTAGTTGTTTTCTTCATATTTGTATTGTTGATTTGAAAATTATTACTATTATTTTCAGATTCTTGTAAAACTTTAATTCAATATTAAAAATAATTTATCTTCTTGACAAAAATTGTTAATATGTATTCAATGTATCAAGTTAGACTCTCAATTAGTTGTGGTATTAATTGAAATAAAAATATTTAAATTACTTGCTTACTATACTGTCGCACCATTCCCTAAGGGAGTGGCCAAGAAAACAGTTCATTTCCTACGCACATCATGCTGCAAGCTTCAGTTCTCTGAAGAATGCCATATAGCGGGGCATAACACATCAGGAACATTCACCCAATCTTTTATCCTGGGATATGCTGAAATCATGCATCACATCCATACTTGACAATCTTGCACTATTTCTGTATATCCATACATATCTCCTTTGCTTATTTCACATTCATGATTCTTCTCACACACTCTCAGCACCTTATTTCACTCAGAATTTGTTTCCCTTTCAGGCGCTCTTCCACTTGCTCAGCTCATCTTTTCCTTGGTTTTCTATGCTCTTTTGTTTCCTCTAAATTTTCCACATACAGTTCTGATGAACACCCATAGTCACTTTGTTGCTTAAACACTATACAGTTGACCCCCCTATAACACTGTTGATAATTCCGTTTTATATGAATTCCATGTTGTACGAGTCACTTAGATTTTACAAATATGTGAGCCATTCACAGCCCGGCACACATATTTGTAAAATCTAAGTGACTCGTACAACATGGAATTCATATAAAACGGAATTATCAACAGTGTTATAGGGGGGTCAACTGTATAGTGTTTAAGCAACAAAGTGACTATGGGTGTTCATCAGAACTGTATGTGGAAAATTTAGAGGAAACAAAAGAGCATAGAAAACCAAGGAAAAGATGAGCTGAGCAAGTGGAAGAGCGCCTGAAAGGGAAACAAATTCTGAGTGAAATAAGGTGCTGAGAGTGTGTGAGAAGAATCATGAATGTGAAATAAGCAAAGGAGATATGTATGGATATACAGAAATAGTGCAAGATTGTCAAGTATGGATGTGATGCATGATTTCAGCATATCCCAGGATAAAAGATTGGGTGAATGTTCCTGATGTGTTATGCCCCGCTATATGGCATTCTTCAGAGAACTGAAGCTTGCAGCATGATGTGCGTAGGAAATGAACTGTTTTCTTGGCCACTCCCTTAGGGAATGGTGCGACAGTATAGTAAGCAAGTAATTTAAATATTTTTATTTCAATTAATACCACAACTAATTGAGAGTCTAACTTGATACATTGAATACATATTAACAATTTTTGTCAAGAAGATAAATTATTTTTAATATTGAATTAAAGTTTTACAAGAATCTGAAAATAATAGTAATAATTTTCAAATCAACAATACAAATATGAAGAAAACAACTAAAGTACACTTGAAGTTAATACAAAGTGCAAGTTACACAAATTGACACTGTTTTAAAATTAATTACTACTATTTTTTCATTAAAATTCTAAAAAAAAGGGTTGATCCAAAAGTTATTTAACTGTATTTTTTGCAAGCATTTCAGCAAGTTTTGCAAGGAAGTTGTTAGTTTGACATATTTTTAAACAAATTCAGCAGTTTGAATATCGAACAAGGATTTCATTCTAAACAATTTTCAAAAGCTTTTATATGTAAGACGACAATTTAGTAATTAAACTGATTAACTAACTTTTGGACCACTACACTATATATATTTTCAACAAACTGTGAATGAAGTTTCTTAGAAATTGTGAAATACCTGTATAAAAAAAAATATGGCCTTAAAAGTATGGAAAAGTTAATATCTTTCTTGACTGAAATTTCTTGTGAACAATGAATAGATTTATGCAAAAACTTAAGGCATAAAGTACAGCTAAAGCAGAAATTTCAAAGTGAATAAAGCCACTGAACACTGGTAGTTGGTCATGGTTCGTGCCTGATTAATAAACTAGCTGCATGGAGTTTTCCCGGCCCACCAGTGGCCAAGCAGTTCTGTTCCCTGAACACTGGGAGTTTGGTTGTGGATTCACACCTAGCCAGGACGGGCTGGCCATGTGGAGTTTTCGAGGTTTTCTCCACATCTGTAATGCCTGAATAGGGGCCAGTTACCCTTAAAATTATCTCCCAGAAGGCATTTCCCTAGGCAGATCATCCAAGTGTTGCATTGCCATAATTTAATTGAACAAAGGAGTTTTTCCAGTTTCCTTTGTGTCAAACACCTTAGTGGCATACATAAGAAAGTCGTCCTCAGAGGCATCAGTTCTTGGCAGATTGCTATGTGTTATCTTATTAATACAATTCGTTTGCCAGCAGGTATATGATCAGTTCATACATTTGAATCTGTCATTTATCCCATTAACAAAGCTATATTTAAATTAAAGTTTAATTAACTGAAAAATTAACTTTACTTATCTTTAAACAGAAAGTCATGCCAAGAATTCAAAGTACTTTTCATGCCTGAATTTATATTAGATCATGTATATAAATCTATTATTTGTGAGAAATTCCATGGTGAAGAAAGATATATTTGGCCTAAATTTTACATTTATAATACCCAAGATTTTTAATGAAATAGACCAAGTGCTTTAGCTTTGTAATTGTTATGAATTTGTTTGTATCATACTAATTTAGCTGGGGCTACAATTTTTCTCTCTACGGGCAGGTCAGACCCACAGTGGAATCATCCAGCATTGGTAAAGGATAGGAAAGACACCCAACCCATATTATATAATAAATTATAAGCTCAGAATAGGACTTGAACTCAGATCCTACAAAGTCATCAATTTTATCACTATCAGCTTCATTATGGACTTAATGGTTTGCTTTGTTTCTCATTATAGAACTAATTTTTTTTTTCTTTCTTTTAGCACACTGCTCTGTAGGCACTAGGGCTTTTGCCCTTGCTTCATACCCATAGTGGGTTCAGCCAGACCCATAATGAAGAGGATGCCCCATTCTCTAAGGGAAGGGCTTGACATATTTAGGACAGACCATCCACGAAAAATTCGTGGTGTTTACCTGAATCTGATTCCAGGTTTCCAGAGTGACAGGACAATGCCTTAACTGCCTTAGTCATCTGACCAACTAGTGGATTGCTTGAGTTTTCACTATAGAAATCATAGTAAAAACTTAAGAAACCCATTAAATTTTTAAAATTTAGTATTTAGATAGATTCTTTTATCAATTTAATTCTACTCTGTGAATTTAAATCAGGTCAAAATGATATCCTTCAGACATCAAAATAGGTGTGAGTGGTGCAATATATTTCCTTATAACTGAATGAATCAATGGAGGAATGATCCTGTTTATTTGCTGTCATCAGAGTTGAATTGAACGAAAATCAAGAAGTAGGTCACAACAGCAGAAGCCACCTATTCAAAGATTCATAATTATTAATATATTAATTATGTTACAAACTAAAGGAAGAAAGCAAATACTTACGCTCAAAACTACGCCTTTTGTCACTACAAATAAATCCAGACAACTCAGACCAATGGTAGGTCCGCTCAACCTTTCCAGAAACATAGTGATCTGAAAATATAAAAAATTAATTGTAAACTGATTAAATATTATTGTTGACAGCCAGATGGTTGGGCAGTTAATGTGTCAGCCTACCACTCTGGGACTTAGGAACTAATCCAGGTGGGTTGAAAGACCCGAGGAATTTTTCAGGGATTGTCCTTATTTAATATGTCAAGCTCTGTTCCTCAACCCCCAGCCAATCCATTGTAGACCTAGCCAAACTCACGTTGAGTATGAAAAAAGGCTTAAATAGGGCAGAAAGGCTTGGATAAAAGCATTTGGCTCAATGATAACTGAGTGGATAAGCCACTAATGGTTGGTCACAGGTTTGCATCTCGCCAATGGACTAGCCATGCGGTTTCCAGGTGTTCTTCATGTGTCTAACACCTAAATAGGGGCTAGTTTCCTATGAACAGTTTTCCTGGGGGGAGACACTCTTGGCAGATTACTGAAGTGTTGTGTTGCTGTCAGAAAAATGCCCACAGGGTAGAAAGAGTCAAAAATAAAAAAAAGGGCTATATAGTTCATAATTGTGAGTTAGCAATTTGATAAAAATTGTTGGATGCTCAGCATTAGGTAGGCAGTAACTATTCTGCAAAACACGTGAATAATTCTAAAGTAGTTTTATAGAATTATCAATTATTAAACATTTTTTATTTGCTGAACCAATTGCTCTTGTATGACTTGCATATTTCAACTAAATTTTCTTAAAAATCCTAGCCGTTCCTTGGACCTGGACACCTGGCTATCTCTGTTGTGGATATGATCTAATTCATGATGGGCTTCATTATAAATAAAGGTCCTCTAAGTGACTACAAGACAGAATAAATTTAAAAAAAAAAAAAAGCCAGATTATGGCCAGATGTAACCATTGATCCAAAATCAATGACTGCACAAAACCATCGACAGATCTGAAGTCACGCACGGTACTATACAGGGCCAACAGAACATGATAAATGCACATGTGGGAACAGGATATTATACAGGTACACCTGTAGACACCTACTGCCAACAATTCTTATTTGACTTTTAATACAAATGGAATATTTAGAGAAAAAGTTTTTGATTAGGACAGTGTACTAAACCAAACAACCCCGAAAAATAGGGACTTACGGCAATTCTTCTTTATTGGTATCTTTCTAGTTCTAAGCACTGCTAATCTCAATTTTTTGTATGGTTTAAGCATTAAAAGGCATCAGTTTGCCACTCTAGAGATTCAAGTTTGACTTTGGCTTAAGAGTGAGATTCTCAGAAGTTGGGGTTCTAGATTGTGAGGGCCTGGCCTAATTCATTTATACTTGATCGGAGCTACATTAATTAACGCATAGGAATATCTGACCATAGTTACAAGTATTACTCTTTTAGGAAACCCGTGTGGCTCATTACCAATGTTTTTGCTCAATATCTGTATTTGTATAATGTCTGTAAAAGAAGAATAGGGTGCACTCGTACATTGGAGTATGTGTCCTCTTTTTGTCTGTATTGTCCTTTCCGTAAATTCCATTGTCAACAAACAACAAATTCATGACTTCTAGCTTACTCTGCAAATGTAAAAGAAACTAATGAACAATATTTGTCCATTATTCCGTGCAACTTTGTTGTATATTGTCCAAAACTTGGCCTCGAAAAGGTATCAATTCTTTAAAGATTGTGTTGGATCGAGTCTGAAAAGTGAATTTACATCCTAGGTAATTAAAGTTGATTACATAAATGATGGAATCATTATGGTAAGAATCCAAGCCGAACCAAAAGATCTGGTGGTACTCATTCAAGTATATATTCCTACCAGCTCTCATTCAGTTGAATAAGTGGAAGAAAGATATGTCTGCCTATTGTTATTAGGAGATTGGAATGCTGTGGTGGGAAACACGAGAGGAAAATATTGTAGGAAAGCATGGACAAACATTGGGAATCGTAAATAGGAGAGGAGAAAGGTTTATTGAATTCTGCAAAGAACACACATGATGATTACAAATACATAGCTTCAAAAGCCTAAGAGAAGATTATATACATGGAAAGATCATGATGACAACAACAGATACACAATAGATTACAGTATATACTAATTAAAGAGATACAGGAATTCTATTAAGGATGTAAGCACCTATCTAGGTTCAGACATAGACTCAGATCACAACCTCTTACTAGCAAAAGTCAAAATGAGGTTCAAGATGATCACAAAGAGGAAAAAGACAATTGAGAATGAGGGTAAAAATCCTGAGTGGACTAGAGAGGGGATGTGTGGCCTTCAGAATGAAAATTAATGTTAACAAAGCCAAAGTGCTTTAGATCAGAGAAAAGGAAAGAAAGGTCAACATCCATATAAATGGTGACAAAGTGGAAAAAGTGAATGGGTTTTGATACCTGGGTGCTTGGCTTGACACTGCAGAAGTGGGAAAGAAATCAAGAGGAGAATTGGTATGGCAAAAGAGGCATTTAGTAAAATGAATACAATTATGTGAGGGCCTCTGAAATTAGAATTGAGAAAAAGACTGGTCAAATGTTATATATGGAGTATTTTCCTCTATGGTGCCAAAACTTGGACCTTGAGATAATACATTAGGAGAATAGAAGCCCTGGAGATGTGGCTGTGGAGAAGAATAGAGAAAGTCAGATAGAGAGATAAGGTGAGAAATGAGGAAGTTTAAGAAGAGTGTANTAAAAGTCAATTTCCTGAATTTTGCAGCTTAAATAATTATTTGACAAAGAATTAAACTAAAATGTTCTACATCATTCATTTGTAATTATCATAAAGTAATGTTTTCAGTTATTCTTTACTAAATAAAGAATAATCTTAATTTCTGAAACTTAACGAGAAATGAGGAAGTTTAAGAAGAGTGTATGAAAAAGGAGCATATTAGAGACAATAAAAAGCGAAAACTAATTGGATGAGATGAAAGAGACTAATTCGAGAGGAAGGCTTATGAAATGACGTTATGGAAGAAATGGTTGCAGCCAGAAAGAAACAAAAGAGAATTAAAATGGTGGATGACTTTAAAAAACGGTAGTTATACATCACAGGATAGACTAGCATAGAAAAAGAGGTGGTGCTCACTGGAAACTAACAGAAAACTAAAAAAAAACGAGCAATTATTTATTGTGACATCATCATAATGCTGGGCTGCAGATTTTAATCATATTTTTAATTTTTTTTAAATTAAAATACAGGCTCTCCTCCTCAAATTAGTAATGGCTTGCTCCTGTACATCATACTTTTCCTTTAACACTAGAGTCGTGCCGGTTATCTATCTAATATCTTTCGGGAAAATTTTTTTGAATTGAAATAACGTGACTTCCAGTTTGCATCGGAAGTTGGTGTATAGTTAATGGGGGCCTCCTGCCCCTAAGATTTTCATACCTGGTCTCGTCTTTCATCTATCTAACTCCGTTCTCGAGATTAAGGAAATACGGACAACAGTGGGAATTTATAGGTCAATTGCAGCCCCAATATAGCCTATAATTGCAACGGCAAAATTGCTTTACTATAATTTATAATTCTGCAGCTACAATTAGACATTATTAGTTTATGATGATGTAGAATAACGTAAAGGACCCAAATCCTCCTGTGCCTAGGTGCTCCGGAAGGTCTTAACCCACTATTGTAGATATATAATCGTTTCAATAAAGTTATTTTTCCTTGAAGACATACAAGTGGGGCGCATAGTTTCTTCAAATTCCTTGTCTTGAGGACACTAAAAAAGCCTTTTAATTCCCATTAAGAGTTCGTTCACGCTCAAGAACCATTGGTAAGTGACGGGCCCAACACATTTGTGTCAACTCTGCTGCTTGCCCTTGCTTAGTCCCCTGTTATGCGACTAACAATACGAAAGTGTTGAGGATGTTACGTGTCAAGAACTCGTTCATTAAATGGGGTAGTACCGAGTGACACCGTCAACAATAACTTGTTGCTACTTTATAACACCAGACTAGGTACCCAGACTCAAATATGGCTCTTCCCGAGTGATAGGACGTTGCCTTTACTATCTCGGCCATTGGGCCATCAAAGTAGATTTGTAGCCACACGTGAACACTATGATGGACACAGAAAGGCGCTTTTCTCTTTCTCTAATTTTAACTCTCCACCTTGCAAACACTATGAAGGACATAAATCCCCTAAAAGACCTTTCTCTATGTCCATCAGTGCTTACAATGGTTAAAATTATACGAAAGCCTTTATCAGTTTTATGCAATTTATACAGCTTATTAGATCTAATGCAGTTTACTAAAACTTTATTAAAAGTCAAAATAGCGACTTACCTTAACATGTTGATCTAAAGTTAAGTCTTTGACTGATAATCCCCGAATAGGACCTTGACAGCTGTGAGCCTACAAAGAAATTATTTTTAAATTCAGCACAGAAGTGGGAGATCAGACATTCATTTTGATTATTAAGATTTGACTTACCGCACCAGAAACCGAAGCTGCAGTTAGAGAAAGGCTAAGAAACGTAGCCAAACCTACTGCCACCATCCAACCCAGATACAACTGATAGGTGGCTCCTCGAGTGATAAATATCAATTGGAAAAGGCCATAGCAAGTTTCCGGAATGAACATGACATAACTGCAAAATAAATAGCTCTGGAACAGTCTGTCCGCTGCTTGGACCACGTTGCACATTTTGTGGTGCTTCAGTTGGACTCCATCCAAATCACCGGTGACTCCAGGTTCGGGACTTTGTTGCATTCTGATCAGATCCCGCGTCACCTCTACGAATCTTTTGGTCAGAGATGTACTGATGACCACGAAGCATAGCACGCTGGATAGCCAAATTCCGTAAGAAATGAAATGAACTCCTAGCATAGGTAAGGTCGAGAGCATAGCCAAGGCAAAACCGTATTTCTCGGCCAAGTGAGAATAGCAAGTATAGGCGTATGGTAAGGTGAATGCCATAGAAGCAAAGATCATGAATGGATATACCCCAAAAGCCAGAGCACGTTCCATGTGACTCAAATCGAATTCTGTTTGCCTGTGTTCCGCAGTAGTGGCTTTGACTTCTTCCCAAAGAACTGCTAGAGATTTTCGCGTTTTTGATGGTTTAGAGGGCTTGTTAAACATTCCCGAAATAGTGGCGCAACGAAAGAAATAGGAGGCAACAATAACTAGCGGGGATAGAGCAGGCTTTCGGTGATACATAAACCTTTCCGCTATCCATCCTATCTTAACGTAATGGTAGAAACCCGGGATGAAAGTAAACATGAGCAGGAAACATCTACCAAAATATGCCCAAAGGCACATGTTTAACGCTTTGCCAAGTAACATTCTGCGCTTGTTTATCAATTCTTCTTCGGGGGTATTTTTCTTTTGATCCGAAAAACAGCCGTACATGCCGGTGATGCTTAGAATTTTGAGCACGGGTTGAAAAAGACATTCGAAACATTTCAGGCAATCTTTTTCGGGGCAACTCGACTGCACCGCAAGTTCTAAAATTTTAGCTTTCATTTTGCCGATCGGAGCCAGCAGATGAATGAAGGTACCCTTAAGACGAGCAGAACTTCAAGGACTCGATCGATCGATCGATTGATTGCATCACTGATCGATTATCGCTAGCGTCAGACTTAAACAAACGAAAATATATTCGTTGTTGCACACGGATTTAAAATTTAAAAAAAATAAAGCAATTGATTTAAACGATAAAAGTGTGAATGTTTAAATTTAAAGATTTCGAATTCTTGCACGGAGGAGAATTAATGTAATTGGTACTTTTAATATCGATCTGTTTTGATGCCTGCAATTTATCGATTCCTCTAATTTGATTCTTTAAAGTAGACCGAATATCTAGGCCACTCTGTTTATTTAATGTAATTTATTTCTATATCAATAATAAAGCCAGGAACATACAGGATTTTCTTGAATTTAATCGTCAGAAATATAGTGCCATAAATTAATTGCTCCAGCTTGAGGAAATAGGATTGCTACCCGTCCTTGTTTGGTAGGACAGTCCTTACTTCAGTTGCTGTGTGTTTTCGTCCTTTACTTATTAATAAAATGTCTTCTAACAGGCCGGGATGGTGGAGTGGTTCCGTTTTTTTCACGTGTATAACCTAAATAGGCGCCATTTTCCCATAGTCTTTCGAGACCCCCTTGACAGATCGTCCGTATGTTGTATTGCCTTATCCCATCCTTCTTAACAGCAAAATGCATAGAAAAAAACCGCAGCTAATAGACATCTAGTGTTTCTAGTATTACTTGTGTACCGATACATTGTTACCTAGTGTTTCTCAACCGTATGAAAAGAACTTTTCTGGGAAGTATCACGAGACATCCATTAAATTTTTCGTCTGGGGAGCGTTAAATTGGGGTCTTCCGCCCTCGGATCCTTTCGTTAGAGCCCCGCCCGTTCATTGTCCTTACTTTGGAAAGCCAAAAGATGACAACCCTAAATTAATTACGCCTATTTGACTCGAGAGAATACGTGTCCCTAAATAGACTCTGCAGGAATACGTAAGTATCTCTAATTAAATAAACTGATTCATTTCTCCAGGAATTTATAGGGTGCCATCTAATTCAGCTGGCCTATTAAGGATTACAAACGGCGCTTTTTCTTTTACTCTCTGCCCTGTGGGTACTAAGAGGACCTTTTCAAAAGACAAGAAATAAAATCTGTTGTTTATTAATTCTGGCAATTAACCACGTAACTTTCGGTTTCTTGCAACACAAAGATGCTCCCGAAATTAGTGTTTCATATAGGATAAAATCTATTCGTGGCAAGACTTACTAGCAACTATGGTAATGGCTGAGTAGCATAGGATTTACGACTAACCTGGGATCATTTCTCACTATAAGGAATGATTGTGTACATTTTTATACCCTGTTCATTATTATTGTTTAGTCAAGTGATATTAAAAGGGGCAATGGGTCACTTACATCATATTTCCAATAAATCTTTTTGCAATTCAAGGCTGATTACAGACACTTTTCTCAAGGTAACAGAGAAAATATTAGAGATTTTTCTCATGTTTACATGAATTTCACTATTTTAGCATGTCATCAAGATAGTCTTCCATGCAATGACATTAAGCGTTTAGTAGTTAAGGGCCCAGACCAAGCTCTATGGAACAGATTTAAAATTGGCAATTTAAAAATCTAGAGGGGCTAGACCCTAAGCATTGAGGTCCTCTTACTTTCCAATTTTTTTACTTTGCTTAAGGGACTTAAATTTCTATTTATGCCGCTGCTTCTATGGGTAAGAAAAAATGCTTTATTGAAAACACTATTATGATATTGTAACACTTAAAACATTTGTGTTCAATTCTGATTAAGCTTTCTAGCTGGCTGACTTGTTTTATGATGTAGACTCAGATAGCAAGTCCAGCAAGGGTCTTTAACTCAAATCCTTCGGACCTTGATGCCTTCCACTTTATTTTTGCAAGATGGATGGTGGTTCCAAAAACATTTGGTATATTATTAATATAAAAAGGACCTCCAATAAAGCAGTTTCTTATATTTATCATCTATGATAAAATGCTCTATTCTGGATTATTTTAAGCAGCTAATTGAATATGGAGGTTGATTTTCATTACTTCTGAATTTCAAAATAGGCCAAGATAGTGAAGATGTCGGCCTACTGTTCCGTGGTTTGGGAATCTCAAATTTTTCATGGGTCTTTCACCATTATGGGCCTGACTGAACCCATGATAGGCATAGAAAGATCCTAAGTGTCTCACAGTTTAAAAAGTTACTGTTTGTAAGATTCACATAGCAAAATTTATTGTCATTCATAACTTCAGATATATTAAATTGCGTCATGTTTATAAGATGATAGTTATACCAGCAAAGCAGCTTGATTTTTCCAATAGAACCAGTATGAATAGATGAGTAACAATGTCGCGACTGTATCACAATGTATTAAGAAATATGGCTTGCGTTGTGTTGATTTATTGTAGAGGCTAATGCCAAGCTGCTGTCAGTGCATTATTTGGAGGCCAAATTATAATAAGCATGCTTACATTCATCCCCTGTAGTACTATAAACTTTTAGATATTGTAAGTGCACTTGTTGCATTCAGTTAAGATAAAAGAAGAGCCTGGACATTTTAAGAACTATGAATCTTTCATTTAGTATAAAATCTATTTTAATGCTATATATTAATGCTATACAGGTCAATAAAAAAATGCTAAATACAATTTAGCAAAACAATTAAAGTATATTTATTGTCATAAAATAATTTATTTTACATTCCTGTAAGCAGAAATAATTTTTTTTTTCACTTAGTTTTAGAACTAATTTTTGTCTCGTCTCTGGAGATTTTCTTATTTTGGGTGTCGCCGGTCGGTTTAGTTTCTTCTTTGAGCGGACCCCAGTCGAGATTTTCGATTAATTGTTTCTTTCCGTGAGGTGGCGGACCCAATAACTTCTCTATGTCGTCGTAATTCAGAATTTCCTTTTCCAGTAAAGATTCTGCCAACTGAAAGAAGGGAATTTAAAATAGTTTAATCTACATAAGATTATAAATACTTAAACAATTATATTGTGTTTGAATTTATAGCATTTCTTATAACTTACTATAAATTATTTTTTTGGAGTGAAAACTGTAGTATTTTACATTATAAATCTGTCATTGGTAATCGACGGAAAGTGTTTTCCTTGAGTGTTAGATTTTTCGGAAATTTTAATCCATAGAATTTAAATTTGAAAAATTCCTCTAAAGAGTTTCCTTAATAAGTATCAATTAAAGCACAGTTAGCCTATTTCTTGTAAGTAAGATGGATTTCCAATAATCAGTAAGGGAATCTACTGTATTTTGTAGTGTTTTTGACAAATTAATGGGTGGTCTGCTCAGATACAATGGAGAAAATCCTGATTAATTTTGACCCCAAACAAATAAGATATAAATTTTTAAAGTTGTGCTTGACTTTTGGATCTGCATACCAGATATCTATTACACTAAGAAAGATAGAATTCAAAGTGATCTTTATATATTTAAAAAATTTATACTATGTGTAATACTAAATAATATCAATTTGTTCCTTGTGTGTAGTCCATTATGTTTAATAACCCACTAAAACCTACATTTACATAAGTAAGAACTATTACTCAGAACATTCTTCATTTGCATAAATACAAAACTACGCTACCAATTACTTTAAACAGCTAAATTTTTTTTCTAAAGATAATTTCATAACATTAATTAAAATTATTGATGCCAAAGTCCAAAAATTCTTGAATTAATTTCCAGGACTGTTGTATGTGTATTCTCTGACTACATAATCAATGTATTTTGATGAGACAAAAATTCTTGTATTGCAAGATTCGTGCAAATTTTAAAGTTGGCATTGATGGTATTATAATCTTCAAAATGTAAGTTGAAGGAGTAGGGCTGGACTTATATTATTTTTTACTTGCTATTGGTATTTACAATTTATTATAAAGGCAAAAGCCTTAAGTTTTAATGAGATTGTCTCATGCTGTTTAAAAATAAATTTCTACAATTCAACATTTTAGACCAGTGGTTCCCAAAGTGATCTAATCTAGGGGAGTGTCAAAGACAAGATCCTGTCCGAATTGTGACCATAAGCAAGTGTTTGGTTCACTGACAATCCTTTCCTCCATTAAAATGGGTATGAAACATTGCATTTAATGGTTTTCAGATGTGGGGGCAATGTACTGTACAGTAAGGACACAAGCCCCCCTCTCACAAGGGAAAATAGATTGGGGGCATTGGGTATAGGTTTATGGAATCACTGTTTGACTCTCGGTAAGCTATCAATCACTTTCTAAAAGATGCTAATAAGTACTCCATCTACTTTGTGCAGGTTGTGCACAAAGTAAATAGTAACATGTTACTTGTTACAGTAATTCTCAATTTACGGAAATAAATATATTTGAAAACAAACTCACCACTTTCAACTTATCGGCATTATCCATAAGGATACGTTCAGTATGTTTGTAGGCTTTGGCTACTAATATCTGTGCTTGCTAGAAAATAAAATAGGAAAACAAAATTAATTTAAAAACTTTTTATTGAAGATGAAAGTTGGTAGTTATATTTTGGTCTACCCTACATTATATTTTAAGTATTTAGGCAACTGAAGTATTGAAGCTATCTTTTGGGTTATAGTATATTCACAATGGTCTAGTTTAGCATGACTATAGTGAGTGTGAGTGAGTCCTGGGTCAAATATTTGTCACATTAACTCTTCCAAAAATAAATGAATAATCTTGTTGTATGTCAGTAGATACTATGTAAAACAAAAATCTACTATACTAGGCAATCATTTGAGACTATTCAGGTAGTCTCAGATGATTGCCTAGATGCCATTACTTATTGTAGTGAAAACATATTTTAACACTGTTATGTTAATTGTATTCATATTATGCAGTTATAGAATAAAACAGCAAGTGATTAGTAAATAAAAAAAGTTCATTATTTGGGGATAAAAATCAAACAGATGGGTAGGACATATGCAACATTTTTTAAGTTTTGTTGTTTGCATTAATGAGAAAGTCAGATTATATAACATTTTAAACAAAATAGGAGCATTTCCATGTCCACTATTAGTAAGTATCAAGAGTTGGAAAATCTCTCCCTAAACTTGTGATGACAATTCCCGTAAAAGGAGAGAGAAACGGTTTTACTAAGATATTATGTAAACTCTCTCACATGTAATAATTTTTTTTAAACTAAATATATTTATTTACTGTAGAGATTTAAGTGTGGGTATTGCTGCTCTCTGTCAGGACTCTCATGACACCACAAATAATTGAGGTTCGCGTAGATCAACTGCTTGCTCGGTCCTACTTGCAATCTTAAGAACCAAACAGCAGAACGCGCATGATGATAACGAGTGAGAAATTAGTATTTACCTCGTCAATAGTTCTAGCCAAACGTTTACTGTAAGGTTTCCTTCCTATGAAATTTCCCATTTCTTCTTCGGTAGGAAAAGACAACAGACCCACAATGGGATCCATTCCAAAGTGTTTAATCTGGGCGTAGGCCATTTTGGTTACTTTCTTTAAATCGTCTTGTGCTCCTAATACAAAACACAAAGTTATTTAATTATGTAAGATTACAAATAAAACATTTATAAGTTTGTATTATAGATACTTGGAATAGTAATAGTATTTGCTTAACATAATCACAAAAGTTCTGATAGGCTTGGCATCTTAAATTGAAACTCTATTTCTGCACATTCCTTAATAACATATAGAGATGACCAATGAAATTACAGGACAGCTGGATGACAAGGAATAAAGGCATCGGGCTTTCAATCCTCAAATTTCACAGGTGATGCTCCCATTCCTCATCACTCAACTGCCTTATTGTGACTTGGCCAAGCCAATAATCGGCTTTTTTTAGTGTCTTAGGTTAAAACGTTTGCTACAAATTACTGAATTTGTTTTTTAATTATAAACATTTATGTAATTGGTATTACCTGTGCTTATTTTATTAAATGTTAAAGATTCCGCCACTCTTCCGCCAAGTGCCATGCACATTTTTTCAAATAACTAAAAGAAAAATTTTTAATTTATTTATGTAACATACTATTTCTAATAATAAATATAAATTCAAAAAATATTACTTCTTCGGAAGAATAGAGTTTTTGGTCGGATGGGAGATATTGTGCAAATCCGAGTACATTTGTCGTTCTGGGAACAATCGACACCTGAAAGAAAATACATGGATATTCATTAATTTCTTTTACTCAAGCATAGAAATTTCTTTGTATCGATATAAAATTATATAAATTTTAATGATTTAAAAGTCAATTTCCTGAATTTTGCAGCTTAAATAATTATTTGACAAAGAATTAAACTAAAATGTTCTACATCATTCATTTGTAATTATCATAAAGTAATGTTTTCAGTTATTCTTTACTAAATAAAGAATAATCTTAATTTCTGAAACTTAACAATTTGGTCTTTTAAAATAACAACACACGACGACAAATTTGCCCATTTTAATTCGGGAGCTTTAATTATAGTGTATTCTCAGTTATCTGTGAAGAGTGTCATTCGTCATAGCACAAGGATAAACAAGAATGTGCACGAACAAAATTCCCATCTTTGTGGACCATTACATGACTGATAATTTGTAAAATTTAATATCCATTCCATGAAGTTTTTCTCTATGTCGTTATCTATAATTATTGAAGAACTAATAAAAAAAACACAACACATGGGGATGTGTCTCCTGAAAGGACTTTCTATGGACAGCTGGCCCCTATTTCGGTGTTACACATGTAAAGAAACAGAAAATTTTACAGAGTCAGCCCGTTGGTCGGGTGTATACCCACAACCAGTAGTTTTATCCACTCGGCCACTTGTGGGTACCGAGATGCAAGGATAATTGTAAGATTTTTTTTTTACTTGAACACTTCTGGTGAATATGTGGGTGTAAATAGTGACAAGTAACAAACATTCATTTCCTCTAAGAATTTTCAAAGATAAAAAAAGTAGGTAGAGTATCAAAAACTTGTTTGTCATTTATGAAAAAATGGCAGCTGTTTAGAGTTCAATTGTATTAGAATGTCTATATAATTGCAGTAAGTATATAAATTATGCAATACAGAATAATAATATAATGTATTAAAAGCAGGCATAACTTTATCACCTTTAATAAAGCGTCGGTATATTTCAACATCCAACCCATTATTGCGTGCCCGCATTCGTGATAAGCAATCACTTTTTTCTCTTCTGGCGAAAGGACTTGGCTTCTTTTTTCTGTACCTAAATTGATAAATATAAAAATATATTTTTTATTATTGTTTAAATGTGAAGTGAAATTATTTTGTCAGTAGATATTTAAAATTAATTAAAAAAAATAACATAGAAATAGGCAATGACAGGTGGTTAAGGATTCAGCCTACAGTTCTGGGAGGACTAAGAAATTTTCATTCATAGTCTGTACTAGGTATTTCAAGCCTTGTCCTTCACCACCTGGTTGCACACATGATAAGTATAATTAAAAAGACCTACTACTAGAAGGTCTTTCTCATAAAGTTTTACATACGACAGAGATAAAAGGTGATGCGGCACTATGATTTCAAGACCCTTTATCTTTGCCCATTTAGAACTAATGGAGAAAGTTAAGAGACAGTGATGTCATCTCTTGGAGTATTTATTTTTATTGTAATAAGTATTATAGGATACTACTAGAATCCTATAATACTTATTACAATAAAAATAAATACTCCAAGAGATGACATCACTGTCTCTGAACTTTCTCCATTAGTTCTAAATGGGCAAAGATAAAGGGTCTTGAAATCATAGTGCCGCATCACCTTTTATCTCTGTCGTATGTAAAACTTTATGAGAAAGACTGAGAAATCAGCTACAATCATTGGAAAAAATCAAATAAACTAAATTTTCTAGATACAGTAGTGTCCTGTAAGCTCGACTTAATGCAGACCGAGAAGGTGAAGAGTTACCGAAAATGACAAGTTTTATGGCACAGCGACGAAGCTAGTCTGAACAGCAGAATTTTTGTAAATGTATTATATTTGCAAATTCACACACACACACATTAACTACATACCAATTTAACATACCAATACAATACAATGACTATTTCTATTTCAATCACACTTCACCAGCACTAGTTTAATCAAAACAAACATTTTTGACCCCATTCAGAGGGCTATCTCAGGTTAAAAACACAGAAATTTGTAATTAAATTTTAAAAAATATTATTGGCTGATTTTGAGTTATTGACATTTTCATCATGGTATATTGGAAAAAGAGTAATATTCTTTGTTAACACATGGAACTGATGTTATTATTGACAGTACAATAAATCTCACAATTGGATGTTTTCTCTCTACCCATGTACAAAATTCGCTGTTCTGTTATCTCTGGTCTTTGCCTGATAATGCATATGTGGGATCGGGCTATGTATGTTTATTACATTAATAAAGATATTGAGTTGATAGTACAATAACTTTACACTAGAATCAAATAAGTTAGAGGTAAAAATTAGATTATGTGTATCTTTTTTTTGGATGACAAAATGAGTTTACAAAATGTCGAGTTATCGGGACTCTACTGTATAGAACAATGGATAAAATGTAATAACCTCTCCTATTTCTGGTTATATATCTTTTCGTACTGGAGACCATGTTGTATTTTCATACAACATGGTCTCCAGAACAGATTAATATCATAAAAGGATCAGAATTGCTGGCTGGACAGCCAAGGCAGTTGAGGCATCAGCCCACTACTATGGTGGACACAGGATCAAATTATGGGCAGTCAAAAGACTCCAGGAAATTTTGGGAATGGATTGTCTCAGATATGTCAGGTCATTGCAAACTTGGCCAAATCCACGACACTTTTTTTTACGTATATAAATTTTTTAATGCATTTTTCAGCTTTCACAGTATTATTGGCATCTGTGATCAAAAATAAAAGTGTGTGGCACTCATGTTTACATTTTTAGTCACATAATACTGTGAAAGCTAAAAAAATCTTTTTTTTACCTTTTAGTGCATTTTTGTGAATGTTAAAAAATATTTTTTAAGTTTTATACTTAAACATTTATATAAGGAACACCTAATTATCGAAATTCTTAGTGGTTTAGAATTTAACTGGCAAGTGGGTGAAAACTGAGTAACGAGACTTTATCTAGATATCAAGACTAAAAAGGGGCCAGGGCTTGCTGCTTTGCACTCACAATTTTTAAACTACGAAGGTCATTCTAAACGTAAAGAACGTTTGTTTCATTATAACACATATGATACCTTAGCTATTTTTCTACGTAGTCACCATAAAAATTTAAACATTTGTCATAGCGTATCACCAGGTTTTCTATGCCTTCTGCACACTCAGTTACTGCCTCTTTCAGTTTGTTGTCACTTCCATAGTGATTCCTGGCCAAAAACTACTTCAATTTTGGGAAAAGATGGTAATCACTTGGAGTCAAATCTGGACTGTAAGAAGGATGTTCAAAAACTTCCCACTTAAACTGTGGAAGCAAGTTCTTTGTCAACGCAGCAGCATGCAGACGTGCTTTATTCTGAAGAAGAAACTGAAGCTTCATTCATCGCATTACCATAGACCTCGATAATCTTTCTGTAAATTTCGATGGGTTGGACTTTTTTTGCATTCAAAAAGCATATTACACTTGGCGGAATCTTTAATTTTGTCACACATTTCAAAGTCACACTATAAACAGTAAATGATCATTGCCTCTTGCTGTTAGCATCAAACTGGCATGAAAAAATGGGAAGGTCCATGACACAGTAGTGGAGTGGTGGGAGAACTGCATGGCTTGTCAGATCAAAACGTTCTTTTCTTTTAGGATGACCCTCATAAGTGTATAGTCTGTTATCAGATTTTTACAAATTTTAATTTTTTGCAAACTGTAAAAAAAGTTTATTGTCATCAAGAACGCATATATATATATGCAAAGTTTCAACTAGATTGTAAGTTGGAAATTGAGTTACAAGATTCCAGACAGACTGAATAAGTTAATAAAAAGTGAATCATTATTATTTAAAAACAGTCCTCCTTTAAAATACATGATTTGAAAGAAAAATAAAACTAATGTTCCTGTTTAGCTTTATTATTCCCATATATTGGGTTGTTCGGAAAGTAAGTTCGTTTTTTTTACCACTAGACGGATTAGTCGTATTTTTCTGCCATTTTCATTCTAAACCGTATTATCATTATATATTTTGACAGCCAGCATTTTAAGGCTTATTTGTAAAAAATTTTGTTTGATTTTGTTTAATTGTTTATTTTTTGTGTCCCATCAAATATGGAAGATCGAAAGCAGCATTTTCGGCATATTTTGCTCTTTTATTACCGAAAAGGTAAGAATGTTGTTCAAGCGAGAAAAAAAATTGTGCGATGTGTATGGGGAAGATGTATTGACAGAGCGACAGTGCCCAAACTGGTTTACAAAATTTCGTTCTGGCAATTTCAATATCGAAGATGCACCACGTTCTGGATGGCCAGTTGAAGCCGACGAAAACAAAATAAAGATACCAATTGAAGAAAACTGCTGAATAACAACACGTGAAATCACTAAGAGATTAAATTTGTCAAATTGAACTGTTTATGATTACTTGAAACAAACTGGTTTCGTTGCAAAGCTCGATATATGGGTTCCACATGTTCTTAAAGAGAGATGCTCTCTTTGGTGGGATTTTAAGGAAACATTTTTTTTGGAGCTTTTACCAGACAATTTAATAATTCATTTGAAAGTGTACTGCCATCGAGTAAACAAATTGAGTAATATCGTCAAACAGAAAAAACAACCAGAACTGATAAACAAAACAGGTGTAGTGTTTTACCACGATAATGTCAAATTTCACACAAGTTTGGTAACTCGTCAGCATGTTCCATCTAAGTTATAACAGTTTCTATCACATCAACCATATTCGCCAGATCGAGCACACTCGGATTATTACTTGTTCCGGTCTATATACATATTTTTTTAACTGTAAGACATTTACTTGAAATGACAATGTCAAAAATCATTTGGATCAGTTTTTTGTAAGCAACAATCAAAACTTTATGAATGTGAAATCATGCTATTACCAGAAACGATGACAACAGGTATTTGATTAAAATGGTCAATATATAATTCAATAAAATATTTATTTATAAAAAAAAAATTGTGTTTTTTTCCGTGGAAAAAACGAAATTACTTTCCGAACAACCCAATAACTCTGAAGTAACTTGTGCTTGTTCCTACATAAGGAACAGTAAGATCTGGATATGTTTTACAGCTGCGAACTCTTTGCCATCAATTCTTCAGTTTATCAGTCAAACTCTGAGAAAGAATAAATGATAGTACTCAGTATTCTAAACTTTCTCTGACCCATCACAAATGCCAGGCTGCAATTTTTAATCTTCTCTTGATTTTAAAAAAATCACCTGACTTCTGGTGTGGACCAGAACTTCATATATATTGGGGGCCTCTGGCCACTAAGCTTTCCATATCCGATCTCAATTTTCATCTAACTAACTCCATGCTCAAGTTTAATGAATGACAGACAGACAGAGGGAATGTATAGGTCTACAGTTTAAAAATACAGCCAAATAATGTGTTGAATAACATTATAGTTCTTACCTCCAACTACTCTCTCTACTGCATATTCGAGATCTTCGGCACTTACAGATGACTTTTTATACCTCGCAGCGTGAAGAGCCGCCTCATTGCACACATTAGCAATATCTGCACCTATCGTAAATTTTGTTTATTAGTAAACATTCTTAGATCCAAAAAATCTTTTCATAATTATTGTCCTGAAAATCCTGTTATCATATTACATTTTTGTCAGTAAATTAACCTAATTTTTAATATAAGTGTAAAGTTATTAGTTTCACCTTCAATTTTGATATATTTTTAACTGTAAACAAATGCCAAAAATATTCAAATATTATATTTTATTTGTTTTATAGACCTTTTTTCTTTTAATTTTAATGCGTATAACACCAAAAAATTCAATATTTACGTGCGGCTTGTGCACTTTTCCAACTAATTTTGATTCAAATTTTTTACAAGTAAAAAAGACATTTCCAAAAATAATAATAATAAGTCAAAAATCATTTCAATTGTTGCAAAATTACAGTTTTAATTTAAAAATTATGCAAAATAAAAATTCTACTTTCTATAAATTTAAATTTTACTTACCACTAAAACCGGGCGTTAATTGTGCTAACCTTTGTGAATACTGTTGGGGAGGATGAACTAGAGTAATAGACTGCAAGTGTTGTTCGAATATCTCTTTTCTCTCGGCTAGAGTGGGCAAGTCGATCATGATGTGACGATCGAATCGACCCGGTCGAAGTAATGCCTGTACGTATATATTAAAGCAGTAAGTTGATGTCAAATCTTTACCACAATGAAAGTATTCTTTTTAGTAAATGCAAAAGCAATAATTTTAATGCCTCAAAGACCATCTTTCTAAGAGCCGCCACAAACTACAGAAAGCAGGAGTTAGTGTATGCTCTGTCATGCTCCAAAGCACAGCCTTCTTTCCCCGAAGCTACGAGTCATTTTTGCTAAGTAAGCTAAGCGAGCATAAAGCAGCTGCAATCTACACAGCATTTTCTCGTGTAAAAGTGCTGCATCATGGGAGATTAGCGAGTAGTGTTGCCACCAGGCTGGTTTTTAAATCCATGGTCTGGATTAATTTGTCCAGTTTTCATAGAAATTGTGAAATTATAATGAAACAAGATAAATTTATAAAAATATTTGCAAAATACTTGCATATATTAGGTTTATTCCGACACAAGTCCCAAACTGGTTTAAAACTGGCATGAGCATTGTTCAGTTTTTGGATGTAAAATGAGATTGTGCATGCCTTGTACAGTTTCTTACAATGCACATGCCTCTTTTGCTAGCGTGACTGCTCTGTCTGTTGAATTCTGTCAACAGCGTGCATACACTTGTCTCACTGTGTGGGCGTGAAGAAAGGGGTGGGGTCTTTCAAGTCATCGGGTATGCTAGTGCACATTTGCTAGCATTTTGCTCTCGCAAAGCTGTAGTTTGTGGCAGCTCTCAGAAAAAAAGTATGTTCTATACAATAAAATTTATTAAATAAAATTATTATGATTTGTGGCTGTTTCTTGCACGGGGACAGTCATAGGTGGTCCATCAATCCATGACATTGAATGGCATGGACTCCTAGCTCTGAACAGCAGACTCAGGAGCAGTGGGATGTTTTATAGTTCTCTTGATAACTAGTCACTCCAAATTTCAAGATTTCTTTATGACAAATATCTAAATTCTTATTTTAAATTGAAATGATTGTCACCTTGTCATCATTCTTGTTTAATGTTAACTATTACTGAATTATAAATAAAATATATCAATTATTTTTCTATAAATTCTTGAAGTTGTAAAAATGACCGCACATAAATATACAAAGTCAAATGCCTCCCAATTAACTAGAGAGCATTTTCCTGTAATACAGTAGCACCCCAAGCAGACTATTGTTAGGTCCAATTAGAGCCATCTTTTTCAACATCTTCGAGCCACACTCAGAGCTGTAATAAACTACCATAACAAACCCAGAAGTTGAAGCAGGAAGAGAAAAATAGATGTGTTGATACTACCGCTCAGAATGCTGTTACAAAAGATATCATTTACAATGGCAGTCTCTGAGCCGAACCTCAAAGTAAATATCGGAGCTTGGGTGCTCAGAGCAACCTCCCTCCGAGTGGATCTGTTATGCTTGCATGTTACGCTTGATTTTGAGTCAAGATTAAAAGATGAAGGCTGGCAACAAGAAAGAATTAGTGTGATAAAGTAAGACAATGCAACATTGGGACAATAGAAAATACTTTCAGGAGACATTTTCTATGGAAAAGTGGCCACTATCTAGGTATTTGATATGTGAAGAAAACTCCCCCAAAAAAACTCCATGCAGCCAGCTGTGGATGAGATGTAAAACTGTGACCAATCACCACTTGACCACTGGAAAATTGGCAATAAAAAAATTCAAATCTGAGAAGAAGTAGTAATTCAATCAAAAGTGAGACCAATAATGCCAAAGAGGAGAGATAGAAAAAGGAATTTTTAAAGAATATTTAAAGAAATATAAGACCTTTTATGTATAATTTGTATAACGGAAATAAAAAATCAAGATCTGTAACAAATAAAAACCGTTAATTACCTTGTCTAAAACATCAGATCGATTTGTTGAAGCTAACATAATTACACCTTCTTTTGTAGCCATACCTGAATAACAAAAACAATTATTTTTAATTTAATTTTGGTATTTAAATTCAAATAATATTTTTAATTTCAATATATTAAATGATACTTAATTTTAATAAATTAAACAAAAATAACCTATATTTATAGACTGAGTGAAGTTGCTTAAGTCTTGCTCCCACTTGCAAAACAATTATTACAGAAAGCAAAGAAATATTCTATTTGTGTCCATTTTTTTCGAGAGTGTAGAATGTCTCACATGCAGGAAACGAAAATTTGAATAATGTCTTTTGGTGCAAGTGATGTCAGAATCCAAAACTGGGCGGTAGTACGCTCGCAGTCATATTGGGTTTTCCAATAAGCTGTGTGGTTCTTTGATGAGTAAACAAATGATAATTTTTCAGAGAAAGCAATAACTGTATTCAATAATGTACAAGTTGTTTTAATGTACAATCTTCTACCATCTTTTGAACAGTTCCATAATTCTTTGATCAAAGAACTTCCCGTCTTTCTTGGCAAAAAAACTGTTCCAAGTACAGTTTGATGTTGTCCTTAAAAACAGAGTGCCGTTAATTTAAGGAATTCCGAAGAGTGAAATGGGTGGTAATCAGAGGTGTAGTATCTGAAGAATATGAAGGATGTGGCGAGACCTCTCGGCCCAGCTCTGATCACATTTGCAATATTTGACACTGTTGCAACAGAAGACCCTTCTGGTTTACCAATTCCGGACACTTCTTGTGGAGAGCTGCATTCAGTTTGTCCAGTTGGCCATAATGCACATCCAAATTGGTTCTGTTCTTCGGAAGCCATCTATCAACAAAAACTGCAGACTTATTGGCCAACTCTAATGTCTCATGCTCAATTTCTTTCCTCGTGCACTTTTTTAAAAGTTCAATATCGATGGACATCTAAAAGCTTTCTAATACAACAAAACATTATTTACTTACAGCAGTACATTTACGCAGTTTTATTGTCTGTAATGTTGACCAATCGACTTTACGACCATATTCGTTTTCTATTTAATATACTGACATTCCATTTCTGTATGCAATAACAAAGTTAAGCATTTTTTAAGTTCATTTTCATAATTCTTTCTTCTGTTGTAACATTACTTTACAATGATCCCATTCCTCAAAATCTAAAGCTTATTCCCAAACAAGAAAAATTTTAACCGATAAAATTGTAAAAAATGCAAAATAAATACAAAAATATAGAGTATGTGGTCCTAATAAAGATATGATGTTGACAGACATGTTTCTGTTTTGTTTTACAAATGAGATACTTGGATAATGTTCTCTTCTCAACAAATGGAAATTTTAATAACCGAGTAAAAAACTCGGTTATTAAAATTTCAACTCTACTTATTTTTTCTGGATATTTTTTAATTTGCTTATATTTCAATACAAAATTCCATTCCAACATAAGAATTTCTGCTGAATTAATTTATTATACATGCCACTCCATTCTAACGTGTAAATTGAGTTGCCATAAATAATATGCACAAATTTTCATTTGTTCATATTAATTAACTTAGTTTAAGGAATTTTAAGAAAAATTTGAGTGTACGTATTTGGGTAAAGGGAAATTAGGGGACAATATTTTTAAAAATAGTTTGAGAGATGGATGGCTAGAAGCAACAGATAGAGAGAATGCTTTTGATTTGGATATGCTGTTAATTCTATCTCAAAATACTCTTTCCCAAAACAGAGAATGTTCTCTAATACAATTGTATGTTGTGAATAGCATTCAGTCATCCATATTGGACATGAAGAAATTGAGGTTACAGATGAAAGAGTAGTCGAAAGACAATTATCCACTCATCTCTATAAGGCAAGAAAATCTACGAGAGAGAAAGTCACCCAGAATCGCATCTCTAAGAAGCAAAGATCTCACAAGACATGAACAAATGTTTAGCTAATTGGTAACTAGCATGTGATGTAGACACTGTCTCTTAAAGACAAGAGACAATGATAAGAATATGGCACTTGAACTTCTCTTCTTCATTTTTCTGTTTAATGACAAATCCTTCATTCTAAAGAACAAAGAACTTGTACTTAGTGCTAAACTTTAAAAACACACTTATCCAACTACATTCCAAAAAACTAAAACCTTGTGTGATCTTGGTTCTGAATATTTGGTTTCTAGATGGTTTGACCAGAAATATCCGAATTAAATTTACGATATAATCTGCCGATAAAGAGGTTGCGGCCGAAGTTTTCATCTGTAAAACGTGAACGTGAACATCAAATGTTGAGCACCGCTTACAAGATAGTGGTGCTCGACGTTCGCGTTTTAAATATGAAAACTTCAACCACAACTTCTGTAATAATCTGCCAAGTGTTTGAAAGGAGTCACTTTATTGTGTCTGTATAAAGCAAAGTAAATTACAACACAGTTTCATCAGAATCAACAGAAATGTCCAAATTAAATTTATTCACATTGTCCTCAACTTTCTCCATTACTTATAACTATAATTCACTCAATTTAAAAAAAGTTATTTCAAATTTATAGAAAAATGTATTGATGTGGTGCCATATTTTTTGAACTTTCAGTACATACTTTACAATCAAAAATGATTTAAAATATACTCCTAACAAATATATTTTAACTATTGTTTTATGTTTAAAATTTTATATTTATATATAAACAATCACAATAAAATAAAAAGTATTCTATATAAGAAAAAAATGCTCTATAGCATACAATTTACCATCTAATTCCACTAATAATTGGTTAAGAGTCTGCTCTTCTTCGCCCGTAACGCCTTCTATATTCCTATGCAAATATATATTATTTATATTAAGTATATAAATAATTAGTATTTTATTATATTTTTAATTAATATATTATAATTTAAAATTAAAAATATTCTTAAATGCTTTTATATGACTGCTGGACAGCCAGAACTGTAAAGACAACTGCATAATTTCCGAGCTTCTTATGCTCGGAAATTATTATGGACAAGTTTGAATTTGACCATAATAGATTAGACCTTGTCTCTTGTCACTCCATTATGGACCCAGCCGCAGGCGCGAAGAGCATGAAAATGCCCTTTTGATACCCACAATGTTGAAAGACATGAAAATAAAAATAGAAAATGTTTTCGTTGGAGAAACTCAAGAAAATTGTTAATGATTTGTTTATATGTAATTAATTCTGTCTACTTTCATTGTCTAATAAACTATAATCATTATCATCGGCATTCAGTATCGATGATTTGACAGCTATACAACCAAGGTGATGAAGATGAAGATGTCAGTCTGTTGCTCTATGGATCAGATCAGATCTGAAATTAATAGCAGCACAGCCAATGCTGAACATGTTGCTCTAAGAATCCGGATTCAAGTCTGAGTTGGATCATCATAAATATTTGCAGGTGGTTTGACCCATACATGTTAGAACTATTCTTAAACATCAGTTGGTGGCTGCATTGTAAATCTAGCTAAATTTATGATGTGCACGAGAAAAGAATTTCTAAGTACCCATAAGGAGTGATACAGAAAGCAAATTAAAAGCAAAATACTTTGAATATTTTAAAATAATGATTATAAAATAATAACGTTAAATTTATATTTATATATCTTTACCCAGTACTTCTTTTACGACCAATTGCATCAATTTCGTCAATATATATAATACAAGGTGCCCTTTTTCTTCCTTCTCGAAATAGATCTCTTACTCGTGCGGCTCCAAGACCTGATTGATTTAAATTCTGTATTAATTTTTTTGCAGTATGACTTCATACAAATCCAAAAATATTTTATTACTATAGATTTTCAAAGCTTAAAATTAAAAAAAAATTGCTTTATATAATTACTACCTGATTCAATATATCATGTAAATTTTATTAAAGTTAATTTTATTAATTAAATATAAAGTAATTTGTCTACAGGTAGGTGGTTAGGCTGCCATCTTGCGATAAATTTAATAATAGTGAATACATTCATTTTTAATTTTAATATAAAGTTTTGAAAGAAAAGAATTTGCCCAAAGCAGGACTCAAATCCTGAACTCCTGCTTATCATGAAGACACAATTAGCCTTAATATAGTCGATGATCTGGCTTTAATTAAGATTTAGGTTAATGGATTAAATGTTTACATTTTGAATAATGTATTTGTTTGTAAATTTTTAATTATGTTTACTATTAAAAAAAGAATTAAAAAGCAGAAGACTGAATGCTCTTCAGATCCAGATTATGGCTTAAGTGGCTACGTAAAATATCATGTGATGATGGCAATGACGAAACTGATTCTATTAGTTGTTTTGTATAAGTATTTTTACAATTAAGTGCCAAGATATACAAAATATATTAGTTAATCTTTTTTATAATTTACTTACCACCAATCATTTCAATAAATTCAGAGCCAGCCATTGCCAAAAATGGGACATTGGCCTCCGTTGCTACTGCTTTTGCCAGCATAGTTTTACCGCATCCGGGTGGTCCGAGCAACAAAACTCCTTTAGGTACTTTAGCACCAAGACGCTATTGGAAAACAATTATTCATATTAAAAAGCATACTTTTGAAACATAATTAAATATATTCAAAATTATCAAGATCAATGCAGTGGAAACTTGCTTGTTTTTGTGTTTTGACTACATAAAAAGCATAATGCATTTAAAGTTTCACAAACTATAAATACTATAATGCAATTACTATATTTGAACATATGTTAGATTTTGAGTAAATTAATTTAATGTAACTTATATGACTTAATTTCACAGCCTCTATAATCATCAGATGATGTAGTAATTTCCAATTACGTGGAGAGTTTGGTCTCGTATGTAACTGGAAATTACATGAAAACAATTAAATTATAAACATTTAAACATTTTTTTATACATTAATGGTACATAAAAAAACATACCGTGTAACGTTCTGGTTTTTTGAGGTAGTCCACAAATTCCATTATTTCTATTTTAGCTTCTTTTAATCCGGCAACATCTTTGAAACGCACTCCTTTACCAGATCCAGTTAAAGGATCCACAATTGTGAATTTTGCTCTTCCAAACTGAGACTAAAACATAATATCACACTTAATATCTAATTATCATCATTAAAAAATAATAATAAGCAAACTTTTAATTAAAAAATTCCAAAAGTTTTTCAATAAACACATTTTCAAGTGAACTGAAATGTATGTTTAATATAAAGGATCCTAAATATTTAATAGTAGTTTAATTTTTATAGTCGACGTCAGCAACCTTTCAGCGATGGCACAACCACCAATGAAAGGTTGCCGAACCATGGTGTACACTATTCTGTTGAAACAAATGCATCTTATTCCAGGTATCCCACAGTCTTTGACCATAAGTTTAAACAGGTCTTAAACCTGACTGAATCCGTGACAGGCATGAAAGGCTCCTTAAATTGCAGGATAGAGAACTTAATATATATATATAATTACTAAATTGACCCAAATATTAGTCAGTGTTGACATCAAGCATTTATTTGTCAAGAACTTTTTCAACAGAAACTGCTCAACTTCTAACAGCGCAATTTAAATGAATAAGGAAATGTTATAAGTTTAACCAAATAAGAAGTGATAATGAAACATTCAGTCCAATGAAACATTCAGTCTGATGAAAAAATCTTCAAATTCAAAGGTATTGTCTTCTATGTGAGGTATGTAGATGGCATACTAATTTTATATGATTCTGATATTACTACAGCACGAAACATTGAAAGTTATGCAAATACTTTGAACAAAAACATCAAATTTACTTACGAAGATAAGATACATAATGAGATTAAATACTTGAATATCATAATAACAAGACAGAAAGAAAAAGTATTGTTCCGTAAGTACGGAAAGACATGTAATATCAATAAGGTAATCAATTACAGATCATACTGTCCTGAAAAAATTAAACAAAACATACTTCTTATGAAATTGCAGAAAATATATAATAGAACATCTTTATATACAGATATTGAGGTTAAAGATATTTTTAAGAAATATTTATTAAATGACTACCCACGGCAACTTACATATAAATGGCACTACCTCTACATTAATAATAATGTTAAAAACAGAAATATTGATAATGTATTTATTAAATTTCCTTATGTTAAAAAACTGTATGAAAAATATAAATATTTCTTAGGTATTTTATTAGGTATTCACCCAGTGAATTTGATAGAAAAACAAAGTAACAGATTTAGTAAAAGCATTTATTTAATTAATATAGGAAGTACTACGATTAAGAAGAATCCTTTGGATGTGGCCGAAGTTGTTTATAAACTTCGATGCACATGCACAGATAAGGTTTACGTTGGCAAGACAGGAAGAAAACTCGGAATAAGATCGAAAGAGCACGAAACGGCAATACGAATGAAAAAATAGAATCTCCCTGGTATCAACATTGTAGTAATAAAACCTGTACTATTAACCGGTATAACATAAAAAATATTGTATAAAATAAAAAATGTGTTTATAAGACATATTGTGGAACACTATTGTATTAAAAATTATGCAAATACCATTAATTTGAATACGGGAGTCAACATAGATGCATACTGGGATAGTTTAATCTATACTACTATATAAAGAGACAACGTATTTTTCGTTTGTGACCACTAACCGTGAAAACTACTGAACCAATCGTTACCAAACTTTAACTGTAGCATCTTTATGATCCCTGGAATGTTTACCATTAATCAAACCTACAGATTTTTTATTAATTAAATAAAACTGCAACGGATTTTTGTCTGCCTATTTCTCTCTCTCTCTTCACTAGATGGCGACACACGCTATCTATAAGAAAAGTCTATTATATTTGAAGAACTGACATTAAATTATTAGTTAATTAGCAAAATCTTTGAGGAATTAAAAAAGTGACGTCATCACGCTAGATGGCCGTATATGTACTGCTTGCTTAGCGTCCGCCGTTTTTATTTTAAAATCGTAAAATTGCGGCCCTGATTATCAGAAATTATGATTCTATCTGTTATTTTGATACTTTTCTTTCTTTATAATGTTTTATTTACTTTATTTTCCTGTAATTAGAGACGATACAACTTTAAAATAAACAGATCAGCTTTCTCTTGCCAATAGATTATCTCAACTTTCACCGATTGGCGTCGGTTAATTTGTAATCGGATAGGAATTGACCGTGAATTGTCCAGCGTTAAGTGTTTATTGCTTTTGCGATAATAGGAGTAGAGCAGAAGCGTCCCTTAATGAACTGCCACATTATATTCCAATCTTAACGTTCTTAATGAACTGCCACATTATTTAATTCCACATTATATTCGAATCGACATTTTATATTTTGTAAGTATTCACGTATCACATTACATGTCATTCATTTAATTCTGTACTACTTACGTTATACCGATTTATATAGATTTTAATTTTCTTTTACATGCTTTCATTTACGTTTTAAATATCATGTGATCTAATCTACGAACGGCAGCTTTCCACGCATCACATAAAATTTCTACGGGAAAGCCCTCATTGCAGGCGTAACAGTATTTATACAACGGGAAAGTGTCATTTATGGATTATGTGAATTCCAGGACTCTGCTAAATGCCACACAGTATGCTAATGCAACGCATTAGCATACTGTGTGGCATTCAGTAGAATATACGACGTGAACACCTTCAGTAATTAAAAGGAGATATAGATAGTAAATAAGGACACATTTTTCTATATATTATTTATGTCTGTTACGCTGAAATCAAATACAATTGTGAGGGAAGTGATAGTATAAAGCCTTTGCTGAAGTGCTTGATTAATTGTTCCAATATGCCTAGAGCAATTTCTAAGGAAATACGAGAACTTGTCCTACGACATCAAAGGAATGGCATGACCATCGCGGAGATAGCCGAGTGCCTCCACATTTCGACACGGAGTGTATCGAGAGTAGTAAAACTGTATCAAGACACACGGTCGGTGTTGCCAGGACGCTCGTCTGGCCGATCGCGCCTAACAACTCTTGCTCAAGACGAGCAACTTAGGGCGAAAAGCCAGGTGAGTCCATTTGCCACAGCATCAACTTTACGATCCTGTCTTGATTTGAACGTGTCCGCGGACACTGTTAAGCGGAGGTTAGTAATATTTGTAGTATAATATATTAACCTTCCAACGAAATATATTTCTATCGATAAGATGACCCGCCAGACATTTCTATTAACGTGCTCTTGCGTATACAGAAATGTAGGAAGCAGGATAATATATATTTTTATTTTATTCATAGGTTGCGCGAAGCAAATCTATTCGGAAGGAAAGCAGCTACCAAACAAACACTTACACGTGCAAATGAAATGGACCGACTTGGGTTCGCATACCAACATCGACAATGGACAACTGAAGACTGGCAAGCAGTCATATTCACAGATGAAAAAGTATTTAGCTCATGCAGCAACGGGACCGTGTGGGTGCGTCGCCCACCATCAACAAGGCACAACCCTGCATATGTGTGGCGCACCCAAAGAAGCGGTCATTTTTCGCTAGGTGAGTGTTTTTAATTTGGTGTTTTCGTGTGTAGATGTCATTACCTTTTCGAACATGACGACTTATCTGCTTTTTCTGTTTACAGGTGTCTGGGGATGGATGAGTGGTGTAGGTCCCGGGGAGTTGGTTCGCATAGACGGTCACCTCACCGCCATGCAGTATATCGAGATCTTAGATCAGGTATTACTGCCGACGGTGAGGGCCGTCTATGGCGATGAACCATTTCTGTTCATCCATGACCGCTCCCCGGTACACACAGCACAAATCGTCACTGCGTGGATAGAACAACATCCTTAAATCCTGGACATGGAATGGCCGGGGAGAGGAGTGGACCTCAACCCGATCGAACATTTGTGGTCTGTGATCACCCGCGGGCCCATTCAGACCGCCAATCCCAACGACCTTTGTCTCTGGTTGTTGGGAGAGGCTTCACGAGGGCATGCTTTGCCACAATCTTGTGGAAAGCATGCCTAAGCAACTGAATGCGGTAATGCATAATGTTGGATCGTGGTCGGGGTACTAAACCTCTCCCCTCCATCTTCATGTTTTATTGTTCTTTTGAGTTAGCAGACGCTAACAGTTTATTTTTGTGAGCTTAGTTAGCTATGTTCTGTTAACGAATCATCGAAATGTTGATTAATTGCTATGTTCTGTTAAAGATTCGTCCGTATTGTGATTAATTGCTATGTTCTGTTAAAGATTCGTCCATATTGTGAGTAATTGCTATGTTCTCATCGAAATGTTGATTAATTGCTATGTTCTGTTAACAAATCATCGAAATGTTGATTAATTGCTATGTTCTGTTAACAAGTTGTTTGTAACTTGAGTTAATAAATCTCATTTACTCATTTCTAATCTGTGTGTTTTGCAAACAAGTCATAAAATCGCTGCACAATTTAATGTTATAACAGTTATTATACCTGTTACTTCACATTAATGTGCATTGCTTGCAGATTGATTGCTTAGATATATATGTTATATCTGATTTGCGATTCGAATATAGTTTGGTAACGATTGACAGCCAATACGGTTTACGCAGGGTGTGACCTACAGGAATGTCCAATCAAGCAAGTAGAACAAGGTGTGGCTAACACCTTTTAACAAATCAGGATCAAAGAAATTTCCCAATGTTTTATTGGATAATAACAAACCAATATACTTTGTGTTTTGTCTCTTAACTTTAAAAACTTAATCAGTAAGCAATAAAGTGGCAATCTTGCGAAAAGGGGAGAGAAAGCAAATTCAGAAGGGAAAAGTGTTGAGAAGAAAAACATAAATGTAGAAAAAACTGCGGAATGTGACCTTTGCAGTTGAACTTGTTTATTTAGAAAAAAAATTGGAATCTCAAGCAGTGATTCTCTGAAGTAACATATTAGTTGCAAATTCCTGTTGTTGCTCTCCAATCGACCGAAATGTAAAAGTTTCATTAGCTGGTTTGACATTCGTGAACATCACAAATCGTGTGTTCCGCGAGTCTAATCAAAACCCAATATTAGTTGATGGCAATAATGCGATGTATCACTCTTAATTATGTCATGAAAACATTTTATTCTCATTTTATTTCAAAAAACTATAAAGATTGTGTCCAATACTTTAACCCCTTCATTAGAAAGCTTCTTTCGAAATCGCATGCTGAAAAATGTATAGCTTTTGATTATTTAAAAAATATTTATTAGCAATTTAAAAAAGTGTGTATATTTCCTAAATGGCATCTTTCCCGGATAAACAAATTTAGATGCAACTTCACACCTGCAATGAGGGCTTTCCCGTAGAAATTCTGTGATGTGTGGAAAGCTGCCGTTCGTAGATTAGATCACATGATATTTAAAACGTAAATGAAAGCATGTAAAAGAAAATTAAAATCTATATAAATCGTTATAACGTAAGTAGTACAGAATTAAACGAATGACATGTAATGTGATACGTGAATACTTACAAAATATAAAATGTCGATTCGAATATAATGTGGAATTAAATACAAAGTAATAAAATGAATACAATAAGATCTGTTTATAAAATGTCAATATATTTTATTAATATATATATAATGACGACGAAGAGATATGAAAACATTTTTTGCAAACTTGAACTCTGTATAATGAATAAATATTTGTTTGAACAACGAATTGTTCATTGCAATATTAATTCATAAACTTTATACGAGTATAATTTTAAAAAAAATCGATTTAGAACACAATAAAAAAAATTTTATAACTGAAGCAGCAATAAATTATAAAAAATGTATTAAAAATAAACAGTTCTGACAAAACTGATTCTTAAATATCAAGGACAACATTCCGTTCAATGAAATTAAACGGTAACCTTGACATGTGACCCGCCTCCAACAAGGAAGGGAGTTTACCTTCACAGAGTAACGTGATACTTCGCGCGTTGTTGTCGTTAATGGTGGGTGTGGGTGGCGGCTCACTTGACACCCTGTTGTGAAAGTAATAAACTTTAACCGACCTTGACAGAGTGTCTAGTTACTAAGAATAACAAGTGGGGAGAAGTTGTTTAAATGGTAATAAACCACTTGGCAGTTCATTAAGGGACGCTCCCGCTCTACTCGTATTACCGCAAAAGCAATAAACACTTAACACTGGACAATTCACGGTCAATTCCTATCCGATTACAAATTAACCGACGCCAATCGGTGAAAGTTGAGATAATCTATTGGCAAGAGAAAGCTGATCTGTTTATTTTAAAGCTGTATTGTCTCTAATTACAGGAAAATAAAGTAAATAAAACATTATAAAGAAAGAAAAGTATCAAAATAACAGATAGAATCATAATTTCTGATAATCAGGGCCGCGATTTTACAATTTTAAAATAAAAACGGCGGACGCTAAGCAAGCTGTACAGCACTTATGGCAGGTTGTCGAATCGTTTCTGCAGGTAATTGTACAAAATATTCGAAATAGTTATTGGTGAATATTTTTGAGATTGATTGATAAATAATGTCGAGAGCTGCAAGAGCACGAATAGGAAGAAACAGTTCATAATTGTAGACGACGTGAATCTACACTTCTACAGCAAAGACTGGAAGGGCAACGAATTCGTTTGGCTCAGAATCGAATGCGTGTAGCGAGGAATTTTTTAGGTTTCACATCAATATAACTTATTCAGAAGTTTTATGATTTTATTTTTTGATATTTTGCAAAACTCTACTGCAATACTACACATTGATCACTCAAAAATAATTAATGAACAATTAGTTCAAATTTTCTAAGTTCTATATGTATATAAGAGTGGGCAGGCCGTGACGGGGATGCTAGTAGAATATAAAAGCACAGATAATGTTAAACAAAATAACCACTGATGAGGTTGTAAAATGAAATGCATATGGTGAAAAAGCTTAATAAAGTAAGAAGTGATTGTTGAATTCAATTCTTTCCACTTGTGAGTTTTGAGTTTCTTCGAAGTAGGGAAAAACTGAGTAATTTTAACTTGCTAGTTTAAAAGAGAACTTTAAGTATTTTTTTTGGACTTTTTAATTTTTTAAAATTTATAAATAATCGATCCCATTGCTTTTATTTATTTTTTACATATTGAAACATTCAGTGTTGTTCATATCTCAAAAGCATGATGTTGATTCATACCACATTTTTGCTCTTATATGAAAACATTGCTTGTTTTTTGTATTATTGAAACACAAGTCCTGCTTTGCTTATAAGAGCATACATTGCATATGAGCATGATCTTATGTATGAGGGTCATTCAATAAGTCCTTAGAAAAAGATAGAAAAACAAATTATTTTAAATAGATTTTTTTTTCAACATAATCTCCTTTAAGCTCTATACACTTTTCCAAGCGTTTCTCCAACTTTTTAAAGTCATCTAAAAAGTAAGATTTCGGAAGGTCCTCAAAATAGGCATCTGTTTGGATGATGACCTCCTCGTTCAACATGAACTGTTGTCCACCGAGCCATTTTGTTGTAATAATTCAAACTTTAATTCCATGATTTTGGCCATCAAAACTGCACAGGTGTGCACCCATGCATTGTCTTGATGAAAGAGGATCTTTTTCTTTTTCAAACAAGGACGTTTTTCCTCGATTTCTTCGCTCAACTGGTGCAATAATGACGTATAATACTCTCCAGTTATTGTTTTTCCTTTTTCCAAGTAATCGGTGTAGATGATTCCGCGTGTATCCCAAAAAACCATGGTCATCACCTTCCTAGCCGATTTTATCATATTTGCCTTCTTTGGAGCCCTTTCTCCTTCAAAAACCCACTGTTTTGACTGTTCCTTTGTCTCTGGAGTGTAGCAGTGTATCCACGTTTCGTCCACATTTATGTACTGACACAGAAACTTGTCAGGATTGCGACAAAAAAGTGCCAAAATAGCCTCAGAGTCGACCACATGATTATGTTTATTCTCCACTGAGAGCAAACGCAGCAGCCATCTTGCTGAGATTTTTTCACACCCAATTTTTTGTGAAAAATTGAAAACACCGTACCTTGTGATATGTCTGTGGCCTCAACTATTTTGCGCACTTTGATTCGTCGATCACTCAAAACCATATCATGGATTTTGTCAATCATTTCGGGAGTAGTCACTTCCACTAAACGTCCTGAACAATGTTCATCTTTTGTGGATGAACGGCCATGTTTAAACTCATTTACCCAATTGTAAACAGTTGCAAACACAGGAGCAGATGTGCCATGAACTTCATCCAACTCAGCCTTGAACTCTTTCAGTGTTAAGCCTTTTAAATATAAGTGTTTAATCACTGCTCGAAACTCACTTTTTTCCATTTTTCTAAATAAACAAAAGTTTCTTGCTTCAATCGACAATAAAAATGAAACCATGTGATGAATGTGACTGAGACTTTCATAGATGTCTAGTGAGTCATGATGCTTACTAAAAACAAGCCATTTTTGATGCTACAAATGCCATCTATTGGATTTTCTAAGGACTTATTGAACGACACTTGTATGCCACTTGTTTTAACTTGTAAGAGACTGTACTGCTTTGTCAATGTAAATTAAATGTACTGATACAATAATTATTTGGTGACATCTCTGTGGTAACCCATTATTAAAAATAAAAAAAAAATGTTTCTAATACTATAAATTTTTTTTAAATATGAAGTTTTTTAGGTATTTTGCAGAATATAATGCCAATTTTGCATTACATAAGAGCATACTCTTAGAGCAAGACTCCACTAGCATAAAAACAACCTAAAAACTCATTGATGTTATGATGTAGAAGCCACTGATGTCTGATTTGATGGTACCGTTTTACAAATGTGTTCCCATCAAAAAATGAACAGTGTTCAGCTTGATTTACACGCTGCTCCAACATAAAAACATCATGCAATTAAAAATAATTATGGCAAGTGTTTTTACACTAGTAAACTCTCAGCCTTATATGGTGTTTTCATTGCCTTTATATACGTGGAAACTCCATATTAAAAATAGAAATTAATCAGGATAATATTCATAATTTGCTTACAATTCTTACTTTCAGGATTATTTTATTTGGTATCAGTACTAAACTGCCAATAACACAATTTAAACAAAATAATTATGTAACTATATAGAAAGAAAAACAATGTTGATAGCTAATTTATGAACTTTTAAACATTTTCAAAATCCTTAAATTAACAAAATATTAAATACTTACAAAAAAATCCATTGCCTGTGGAGTTTTGATTTGAACGCTTCTAAACATCAATAAAATCATTAATGAGACTGCCACTAAAGATACGAGTAATAACCAAGTACTTTCTTGATTTCTTTCGTAAACTACGGGAACGCACTGTTCGGGTTTAATACCGAGATTTTCTTCGGCTTGTCGTAATTTCTCTTCAAAATTTTCCACGTCAAGAATATTCATGTGATAAGTCTTGTGTTCTACCTGATATAAAATAATTTATAATTATTTTAAAATTAAGTCAATTAAACAAAGCATTTCAAATAACATTCATTGCTTGCATACACAATCTTTCAAAAAGAATGCTATCATTTTAATAATTGTAATTATGTTAATTATTATCTGAGAATGTTGTACTGTACACTAAAACATTGGAAAACCAACCAAGTTTCACATTTGCCCATTACAATTTCTCAGTAAGTGTACATGTCACAGGGTACACGTCCAACCAATATTCAAATCCTTCCTATGGCGTATCTATTATCACTCTTCCTACAGCAGTCACAATTCTACAGCTTATGTAGCTCCTACAGATTGCTTGTGTTGATATTACAAAGTGTCATTAAAGATGGAAAATACATTTCAGCCACTTCTTGATTTAACAAATTTCCTTCTACAATATCTTCTAATACGGTTATTAACTGTTTCTATTCTATAAATATAATAAACATCCTGAAGCCTGATGCACATATACTAAAGTAAACGATTGCCGTAATTAATCAAGCTATTATTTTACTATTATTAATGATTAGATATTAAGTAATTTGGTAGGCAGATTCAGGATTTGAACCTGCAACCTCTGCTTACCATGTAGTGTGCTGCCAGTTACGCAACCCAAACCTCCGAGCAATTCTTCGATTCCAGACATATTTAAACCTAGATATAACCATTCTACTCTATGTTCAATTGTCATCAGTTGTGTATTCCAGATCACTACCACAAATAAAATCTTCGAACAAACTAGAGCTGAATATAAAGTTTTTAGTACATTTGTGAGGATCCGAATTCGGATGTGTNGATTCCAGACATATTTAAACCTAGATATAACCATTCTACTCTATGTTCAATTGTCATCAGTTGTGTATTCCAGATCACTACCACAAATAAAATCTTCGAACAAACTAGAGCTGAATATAAAGTTTTTAGTACATTTGTGAGGATCCGAATTCGGATGTGTTTATATCATTTCATCATAAGATCATATCGTAGTCATGCTTTCATTCCACGGTGTCATAAGATCACAGTGCAGCTATACTTTCGTTCAATAACTGTCAACTGTTACACCTGGGAGTTAAACATCTGTTAAGTTCTCAGGCCTAATAAAGACGCTTTCTCATCACCTTTCAACCTAGTATCGCGATTTTAACAATTCAACATTAGACAAGAACAACAAAGTGAGTCAGTCGTCACCAGTTCTTCCATAGGATTACTTCTACGTAATATCTGTGCTCCTTGGGATACTTCTTCGCTTGTGAATATCAAGAATCGCCTAATATCAAGGGAAAAGAACTATTGGACTGTTGAACTTAACACTACCTTCCCAAACTTTCTGTCTTAACGACTGGATCCAGATCAAGATAGAAAAAAAAAAAAAAAGGTATTTATCGCCACGCGTAGGAATTGTAAACTCTCTCTCTCGAGAATGCTCAGTACTTTACTCTCGAACTTTACTATCAACATATTGTAAGATGTGTATTCCCTATTACCCAGTAAACAATTGTTACGTTAATCTAGTCTATGAAGGAATCACTTCCGGTGTGCTGTCTCTCCTTCTATCTCAACTCTGATCGCTCACACCCGAAGGAAACGGTTTCTGTGTCTAGCCGTGAAGACACAGTGATGTCAGTCCTGACAAAATCTGTCATTGCGATCTTCGCCGACGCGATGTCGACCCTTCGGTCACATGGTACCGAAGTATAGAAAGGCCCTTCGGCATTGTCATACATTTATTTCTGGACATTGTCTCAAAAATCTAAAAATTATTCCTAAAGTTCTAATAGCAGTTGTAGTTATCTTTTCCTCGTGCATTGTAAAACAAAAATCTAATTATCATAATACACCCCTAGGTCTCTAATATTCTCAACTCTGGATACCTCATATCCCTGTATATAATAGACTGCAAAAAATCTGGAAATATAACTTGATGTCATTACATTACACTACACTCAAACAACGAAGTTTCAGTCAGTATAAAATTTTTTATTTTACACAAACTGGAAAATTTATTAAGAAAAAAATTATACTTTAGAATCTTTCAAACTAACATCTTCAAGCTTTCTCCATTCATCTTCAGGAACTCAAAAATAAATTATCATTATTATAAAATTAACATGCTCCTAAATAACACTACATCAAAAATAGAAAGACTTAGACCTAAAATTTCTTGTTAGTGCATTATTTTTATAACAATTCTATTTTTCTTGTATTCCTGAAGATAAATAGAAGTTTTGAATAATAGAACCTTCGAATTTTTCAACTTTATACATCAAATAAATAATTCTTTCTTAGTATGTTCAAATACTTAAAGATTCTGATGGTCTTATGGGAAGATTTCCAGTGGGCCTGAAACCACACTTTTGTAATTGTGCAGACCAATGTGGTAACCATCAGGCTACTGATTAGTCCCGACAGGTTGCTAGTTCGTATAGCAATGTGTGATATGCATTACAAAAATCTATAGTTATTTATTAGTTTACAAACTTCTGATGTAGTTGAACCTAAAAGACTCGTGCTAAAAACATAAGAGTCTTTTAAGTTCAACTACATCAGAAGTTTGTAAAAATAAATAATAAATAAGTAAATATATAACAAATAAAGACAAGACTACCAATCCAAGGCAAAAGGCACTATCTCCAAAAAAAATTCAAAATTATCTTGCACACTTGGAATCATACTTAATTAGTATCCTTTATCAATAACACCCAATATCATACTAGATAGTGGTCAGTTTCGATGATGACAATACCACGCCAGGCTTGCAGCCCTGTGTCGTATGGTTAACTGCATCTCCATTGCTGGTTGCCACGCATGCAACCAACTTCATGCAACATGTTGCAAATGATTTGTGTGGACACAGATGCACCTGTTGATGGCAACAGGCTGCTTTAGATGTCATGTGCAATGGCAAAAAGGTTCCAACAGGCAATTCAGCAAATCTACCTCTATGTGCTCTCTGTCACGTGCCAGTGCGATTCACTCCTTCAGTGTGTTACAGATGCTACTGCATCCATCATGTCACACATTGCTGAATGGTATGCACATCATGCCCAACACACGTGGCACCTGTGCATCAACAAACCGAGGTCATGCAGATCCAGGATACAGTCTCATTCCCCAGCCATCAACTGGTCGTATTCAGCACACTGTCATCTCCAAGGTGTTTTCAAGTGTTCAGCTGCCGCGAACCATCACTGAAAACACTTATGGCCCGAGCCAAATGTTGGTCTTTATAGCCCAAAACTTGTACCACATGACCCAATGCGTATGCAAAATCATTTGCATATCTCTGTCACCTCTACTGGTACTGAAATTTATAGTTGGCTATGCACATTCCTTCATGGTGTTGCAATTTCACTTTTGAAAAGTGTATATAACAAGTGTTACTTGTTACAAAAAAACATATGATAGTAATTTTAAGTGGACAATTTAATCTACATTTATAAAATTAATTTAACCATAATCTCAATCATTATTATAATGAAAATAATACAAGAAATATAAAATTTTATTTTAAGAAATAATAAAATCTTACCCTTTTCCCCTTAATCACTGCATTATCGTATAAATAAATGATGACAAGATTCAATTCAGGTCGAACAATCACCTCTTCAACCTAAAAAAAATAATTATGGTAGAAATGATGATGATGATAAATAAAAAACTAAGATACAGTCGACTCCCCCATAACATGGTAGATACGTTCGGCTTTTTATGAAATTCATGTTCTACGAGTCCTTAAATACACGAGCCAATCACAGCCTGGCACATATGCAGTTTATGAACTATGGCTGTTTAAAAGGTTTTCTTCCATAAAATTAATCAATTCTAGATTAATTTGACTCAACATTTCCAAAACACGTATAATTTTTTGGGAATAATCCATATAAACTATGCTATAAACAAAAAATTGTAGGATTACTTACCAAGTGTGCACCGTTTGACGACGCAATTGCTTAAGCTTGTTTTCGTCGTGCAGTGGCGCATCAAATGGTGGGCGCGTGTTTCCTGATAAATTATTTTTCTGCGAAAAATTTGCTGAACTTTGGAGACATCATTAATAAAAATATGATTTTTATGGCCATTAAATAATAAATGGGTTTTAGTAGGTCCGCTGCTCGTTTAAACTCAATGGTTTATGCAATACCCACTATTGGTCTAGATTCAACCAATCCTGTCGCGACACGAGTCGGCAATGATGTTTTACCGCATTTTATGAGTTTTTTTTTAGTGTGTTTATACAAATACGGTCGCAATTTTTTCTCCACTATATACAAATCCGCGTTATATGAACCCGTTTTATAGGGGGGTCTACTGTATTACATGGGTGAACATCTGATTTTCTTTGAAAATAATGCATCAAGTGAAAATCTATAGCCCATAAAAATATAAGTAATAATGGTTGTATGCATTTTCTTAAACTCTCTCCATCCTGTGAGCACTATAAGAGTGTCTATTGGGAGCACTATAATAGGGCAACCAGGTGATAAGGAATGGAAACCAACGTATCCAGATTGATCATACCCAAAAACTTTCTGAAGTTTTCTGATCCATTCAGATTCACATCCTGGTTACCCAGATTGATAGGCTGCCATTTTATCCACTTGGCTATCAATTGAATGCATTTATGGATTTGAGATACCTCTAGCTCATGTTAATTGTTCAACTCACAGGACAGAGTCACAAGACAAATTTCTTGCAAGTTCTACTATCCGGAAGCACTACTATTTCATAAACTGTAAGTTGGGTGTGCTTTGGCTCAATTATATGGATATGGACTAAACAGAAATAGCAGTGAACCTGTTAATGGCAGAGATATGATCTGAGAAATTTGTTGTTAAGTGAATATCATAGAGACTATTTGGACAAACCTTGTCATGACAGGGGCAATACATTGCCTATCAGAAATACAAGATTCACATTCTCTATTGAAACTATATTTTATATAATAGATATGTATTCTTGCCACATGTGGCTCATGAGCTTCAGTTTTGCCACTAGTTATATAGTTTAGTCTACTACTCAAATATAGGTTACATGCAGCACAATTGTAACAAAATAATAAGTATTTATGTATCTAAACATGTAAACATAACAAGGTACGGGCAACTATAAATTTTTCAGCTTCATTATAATCTTAGTGACTGGCTTACAACTGGCAATCGGCCGGTAGACTTTAAATGACAAATTTTAATCTCAAATATCTCATTCCATAGATTGAATTTTGGCTTCATCGTGACGTTAGCCTTGCCAAGTTGTACATACTACAAAAAATCATGTTTAATGGTCATGTGATTGATTTAAATTTTGATCACAGCAAAATACTTTCCGATTTATGAAGAGTTCTGCTCAATTAAATTAAACTTTACATTTCAAAAATGTAAATTATTGTTCAAATCAAAGATTTTTTTTTACTTTACCTCTCCTTTTGCGAGCATTTGGTGAACAAATTCATTCCAAGACACGTAACGGAGAATGTCGGGTTGATTGCTGCTTGGAAACATAAGGGATATTAACGTTATTACTATGTAAGCTGTCATCATCCATATTGCAGCTTTTGCCAGCAAAGAAACTTTAGATTCATCTGAAAATAAAAAAAATTTCTTTAAATAATTCATGTGCTAAAATGAAATTCAAAAAGAGAAGTAGAGTGTAGGTTTTTTGTGTGGAGCCACTCTTTCCTCCCTGTGGGCACTAAGAAGGGCTTTTTTTCATGCCCATCTTGGGTTAGCCAGATCCACAATAGGGGTGAATGAATGGCGAGAGATGGGACCTAGCATATCCAGGATGGATTGAATACAAAAACTTCCTGAAGTTTTTCAATCATCCAGGTTCAATCCTGCATGGTACAGGAGTGTAGGATGGTGCCTTAACTTCCTCAGTCATTGGGCAATTGAGGTTAATCAATTTATAAAACATGTATTTTGGAGATTTCCTGATAATTGGTAACCTCTTAACGCATTGGTTTTCAACCAGGATGCCAGGATTTCACAGGATGTCATGAAATATAATGATGGAAAATGCCATAGCACTTCTTATGTATATTACTGAAAGTCTAAAAGTACAAAGAGCACAATGATTCTACCTTGGTAAAAAAGTAGGAGTGTTGCAAGAAAAAATTACTAAGTTGGGAAAACTTAGGAAGAATTAGGAAAAGGCTGAAAAACACCATCTTAGGGTATGGATGAAGCTGTCCTTATTTATTTATTTTTCAATGAATTTTGATAAAAATACTGATCATACATTAAAATAATTTAAATATTATAAAAAGATAAAACTGTGATTAAACTGAAGACACTTTACAACAACCATTTCGCAAAAATGAAGCTTCCAATCACTTACAACTTTTTCTTATAGGATTTTAGAAAGATGACAAAGCCTACAAAGAAAGGTTAAAGTGATTGGAAACTTCCTTTTTTTGTGAAATGATTGTTAGAGTGACTCTGTTTAATCAGATTTATACATGTGCAAACTTTCATATGTATATTTACAAACTTTCACTTTTATAATACAATTTTAAATGCTTTATAATAAACTAGAAATGCACCACCAAGCATGATGGACTGAAGAATTGAGAAGAGTAGAGATTTCAAGAAATTCAAGAAAATTGAGGCCAATGTTTCTACAAATTAAGTAGCCTATATTGTCTGTTGAAGCATAGTTGATGTGTGATAACACATTTTAGACAACAGGCTCATTAGATCATTACTTCTGATTGGATAATGAATATCACATGGTCACTATATAGTTTTTTTTGTTGTTGTAGAAGCGACACATTGCGGCAATCTTTTTTTAAAGTTTAAATTTAATTAAGTAAGTTTAAAATACACCATTTGCTGAAACATTTAAAAATGCTACTTAAGGGAAATTCCGTAGTCAAGCATGAACTAAACGAGATCACTGACGTCACTGCAACTTAAGTACAATCATCGACCTGAAATTGATAAAACATTTAGTCTATAGCTAATATTTTCACAAAATAAGAAGCCTATACTTTCCATTAGAACATAAAATAAATATAACCAAAATTTCATCTGGATTGGACAAAAATTGCAGAATTTATAAGGAATTCACACACACACATATTGATGGCAGTTTTTATATTATTAATAACTTAACAATACAATATAAAAATTACATGTTTTAAACAATGAAGTCACAATGTGTGCTCTGTTAAGTCTACTTTGTACTTAACAAGCAGCCTGATTGGTATTTAGAGGGGTCATATCATGTGAAAAACACATGTAGACCACCGGTTTTTGTTTTTTTTTTTACTTTTTTTACACCTATGAGAAAAGTGTACAGCTCTGATAACAGCTGATCAGTTCTGAATGAGCCCAACTGTCTCATTCAGAACTGCATTTTTACCAATTAAAATGTAAGTAATGAGACAGAGAGAATATAAATTATTAAAAAAAATTAAATCTAAATAACTTTTTAATTTTTTCTTAAAATATATAACTTATTTATTCAATTAAGAAAATTATTAATGTTACACTTAAAATTTTTAAGATTACAGTAAGAAAATTACACGAAACAAACCATCGTCGTCATCTTTCTTATTTTTATCGCTTTTATTATTCTGGGAGTTCCAACTGTTTGTTATCCGTAGCCATCGCTTTATAGAATCTACAAAATAAAAATCATAATTTTTAATAAATCTCACGACCTTAAATTCAGGCTGGATTTGCACTAGAACTGCTGAATCCAATTTTGATGGCCCAAAATACCGGTGGGGCCAGAAAAAGGACAAAACCATTCTGCCTGGCATCCGAGTGACACTTTATTTAACCAGCACAACTACCACCAGTCGGCTGACAAAATCGAGTTCGGCAGCACTTGTGTAAATCCAGCTTTATGCCTATAAATAGGAAACGATTAACTTGTCTTTCACATAGAAATAAAATTTATTGAGTGTCGAATCATTAAGAATTAATTTCACGAATGTTTTTCGAAAAAAATTGTCATAAAACAAAACCACAATATCAATTTACTTATGTACATCATTTGTCATTGCATATCATTAACGAGCCAATATTTTTAATCAAAACATTTCAATCCTTTAGCGGCCATTTTTGGTTTTCAAACAACAAGACAATATTTTTCTTGAGACTTTCTATTTTTTTTAAAGCCCAACAATGGGCCATTAACGAGTGAAAAGCCTGCGATTAAAAATATCAGTTCACTGTTAAAAGTGTGCATTTTTCCTATGTAGATCCATCAGGATTTTAATCATCAGGATATTGATTTGTCAAAATTTTCCCTAAATTTTTAAATATTTAGAGAAGAATTTAACTTTAAATACACAAATAATATAGTTAATATGTATGTTTTGTTTGTAGAAAAAGTAAATTTTCAATCCTGCTCTTATAGACTTAGACTATAAACGCTACTCTTAGAATGCTGTAATAGACTTTTTCGAGATGTTTAAAAATATTAAATTGATCCTAAATTATCTAATTAATAAAATTCCTAATAGCCTAGATGATGACTTTATCTATTTTAGAAATAAGCTATTCTAACAATTGATACACCTGTTTTGTACAGTTGAACTGGTTAATTCGAAGTTCAAGGGGAGTGTAAAATAATTCAAATTAAGCAATTTCATTAATAATTTTTAAGTAATACAGATATAGCGTATTTACTTTAATTGACACATTTTCTTGTCAAGCTTAATTCTTACTGAGAGTGAATTACTGGCGAAAACAAAAAAACAGAGTGCAAAACATGATATCATTTTCAGTAAATTTTATCATTTTGCAAATCGCTCCGAAGTTCAAAACTGTCAAATATTTCACTCGCAAAAATAATTTTGTCACTTATCACAGTGCCGTTTGTTGTTGGATGTTTCTAGTAGTTTTACAAAATACACAACAGAAAAGACGTCAAAATTAACGTGATATCCTTGCAATTCTCACTTTTTAAACATTTTTCCCATCCAAAATCATTTTCTTTTTAGCATATCTTTCATTTTTTGTAGGAAATATGCAATAGTGGTTAAAAACAGAATGTCTGAAGTGTTTTGTTTTTACTGACAACATTTCTCTCTTGCCTGTAAATGATTGGTTGCTCAAAATCCGCAATCGTTTTCTGCTTTTTGTAGTCTAGACGAGTTTCGCATTTGTTTTTGCTTTTAGAATTTGCTTTTCCCTATGGTGTGAACTAAGCTACTCCAGCTTTGAATTTCTGAACTTCAGTAATTTCTGAAATATAAGGATATTGTAGCTTAAAATTATCCAAAATTTAAAAAAAAAAAATTTGAATTAAACAGGTAATTTTTCCATTACATTTAATAGGAAAACTCATTTGAATTATCCAAAAATTCAAAATTAACCAAGTCTGAATTAATGAAGTTTGACTGTATTAATACAAATCAACAGAAAAAATTCGAATAATTTTTCTTTGTTTTATTTATTTATTTATTTATAAGCCTATGTAATATTTTTTTGTTTTGCTCTTTCTTTCCTGTGGGCATCTAGAGAGACTTTTTTTTAGCAAGCCCATTATGGGTTCAGCTCAATGGGGTGGCAATATGGTGAGAATAGGGCCTAATGTATCCCGATGAACCCATTGAAAAATTTTGAGGTCCAGAACCAATTCCTGGTCCCCAGTGATGAGCTTCCACTCTAATCACTTGGCCATCTGATTATGTTTATATAGTATTATAATTATGAAATATATTATATGAATTATGCATTCTCTAGACCAGTGGTGTGCAAACTGTGGAAGAAACCTGGAAAACTCCGTGCAGCCAGTCCATTGGTCTGGCCAAAATTGTGCCTATAATCTCATTAACAAATTTTCTCGCGACCCCCAAGAAAACTTTTCGGGGTCGCCAAATTCAAAGAAATTTATTTGACAATGAAAAATATAAGGCTTTTCTTCAACAAGTATATGCATAAATAAAACCACTGTTTCATAAAATTATGTGTTTTATTCAGACCTCTAATAAGGCAGAAACATAAGTGCAAATCCCAGAAAGAATTTTACTTTAACTACTTTGATGATTAAAAAAATGTCTACTGTCTATCCAGAAGTCGCAACAAAATTTTACACAAAATGTGGGGGTCAAACATGAAAATAGTTTACACACCATTGCTCTAGACTATATATTAATACATGGTATTCCAACAATCTAATTATGTTATCTTCATTTATTCTTTCACAGGTAAAACATGGCACTGAGTAAAGAACAAATTCAAGCTATTTTGACAATGAAATCCTCAGTCAGTGTGAAGTCATTGAAGAGTTTAACGAGCTGCATTCGGAACAATGTATGCAATTGGTGGGAAATATGGAAAGCAGAAAACATTTTTTCTTTGTAAATTAAAGATATTAAAGAATTTTGTTTCTTAAATCAAATTTATCTAGTTACTGTTTTGATTAATTTTTAATGTAAAATTATTTATAAGTTGCAAACAATGGGGTTTCTGCATGATCAGACATGGTATCTGACTTACTGACTTACCAGGACAGACCACTTGTGAAGAATTTGAGGTTCCTTATCCAGCCTCAAACAGAATTTGCCAGAGTGCAGGTTGAAATCTTCAATATCTCAGCCATCTGGTCATCATACATTGTTAATGACATGATAGGCACAATTTTCGGCAGACCAATGGATTGGCTGCATGGAACTTTCCAGGTTTCTTCCACATATCTAAAACCTGAATATGGGCCAGTTTCCTTGTAAGTCCTCTAGTTAGCACTATCTTGGCAATTCACCCATGTGATGCATTTCCAAATCCCATCAAACCTATTCTAAATTGCTGAATCACCTATCAGTTTAGCCACCACTGTTCTGCTCCTCTATAGCTTTGGATGAGTCAAAAAGTTAGAGATTAACACACTATCCTATCCTTATATGTGTCTTTTATGTAATTGGTAAGTATAAAACTCACACCCCTAACACAAGTTGTATAATAAAGGTAATATAGATTATGAAAAAACAATTTTATGAGCCCTATCACAGGGACTAGTTTAACGTTAGGAGCCCACTATGGGACTAGCAAATACAAAGTTTTCAGAGTAAAAAAAAAGTCTATGACTCATATTCTGAAATGTCTCTTATAATAATAAATGAGATAGAAAAAAAAAACAAACATTTCTCCTATCATCTCATTAACAATATAAAACATCAGTCAGTCAGTGTTCATTTTACTGTAAATAAGTGAATTAACCTTGAACCAATGAAATCGCTGAGAAATTTGCTGCTCGCAGCGCTTCAAGAAAACGAGTTTAACAGTGCTCTCGGCATCGCTTAGAAACGCTGCGAGCAGCGCTTAGTTTAACAACAACCCGAGTGTGTTGCAGCAAATCCCATTTTGAGATGAAGAAATTTACCTTGAACTGGAATTTGAGCCAATATTCTGGACTCCAGGTGAGAGCTGAGCTGAATGTTAAAATTCTAAGCTGTAGCTCAGCTCAGTTCATTTGGTAAAACTCTACTCCCTATATATAGTAATTAAAATTTATTAGTAATATGTATGCTCTTCCATTTTCTGCATAATTTATTATCGTTCTGGACATTTTGTTTTACATTGATGATTATAAACCATTAAAACAGTCCGCGATCATGCCTTTTCAGATCTTTGACTTTATAAGACCGATGAGAAATTCTCTATTCAGTAATGCTGTAAAGCAAATCATCAAGTGTTATTAAATCTGGACTTTGAGAAGACCACGTTGTCTTATATACAAATTTAATCTATTAATATTATCCATTGAACTTGTCATGAAGATATTCTCTAAATGGAAGACTCTAAAGAGACTTTGTAGTCACTATATATACATTAGACAATAATAACGGAACAAAATTCATAAAGGCAAACAATATTGTCTGCTTTTGATCGCTATACAGTGAACTCCCATATAACATGAATTTGTATAACGCAACAAAAAAATTGCAACTAGTACTCATACAAAATTTGAATTTTGTCATCCAGAGGTAAACATTTTCTTCTTCAACCTCTGGGCCTAGGTTTAAACTTGCATAAAATGAGCTGATAATGCAAGTCTCGATAACACGATTTCCTATAACAAAGAACATATTCCCTGCATTGTACGGGATTCCACTGTATATTGATTTTTCAACAAATAGATCTTTAGCAAAGATACTTTTTGTATCAAAAGACTGCTTTTTTTGTTTTTTTTTTTAAATCTCTTTCACTCTGTGAACATTAAGATAGGACTTTTGTCATATCTCTCAGGGATTCAGACATGCCTACAATCAAAATGATCAGATAATGCGAGACAGACCATCATAAAAATTCCTAGAGTTTTTCAGCTGCCAAGATTCAATCGCACGCTCCCATGGCAGTAAACTGATATATTAAACAACCTCATCCATCTGGAAACTCAATTAAAAACTCTGCTAATTAATTCACAAAAATGCACTCAATAATAGATAAAATTGTTTTTAATTTTGTAGATTTTTTTATCCAAAGAATCTATAGCACTTCAAATAAGTGATAAACTTTCAACATCAAAAAATTATACAACAAAAGAAACACGTCTTTTGATGCTATTATGGAATGCTGAAAGACAGTGTTTCTTTTATTAGTTATATCTATAGCACTTCTCTGAATGAAAAAAAAAAATCTTCTTTCTAAAAAAAGTGTTTAATATTTCAAGTTTTGTACTAATCTTAAATATAATATAGTTATAAGAATTGAATTTTCTTTATATTCTATAAAAAGTAACTTACTTGAATTCAGATCAGATAATGCTAAGATATTACTTCTGTGAGGAAAATTTGATAAAGCATGATATTCTCTTTTCAAAGTGTGACAATCTAACAACTGTAAAAGAACAATTAAAAAGATTAAATGAATACTGTCGTAAGTAAAATTCAAATATTTATTTTATTTTGTAAGAATAAGATACAGTCTGATCAAACAAAAAGTTTACATTCAATGAGTAATTTCAAATGTTACTGTCGAATCTGTATTAGATAAGTGCTCTTATTGACTTACAGTAGGGCATGATTTGTTCACAGATTGTCCATAAATTATGTAATGTTATTTTAATTATTTTCAATTGCCATCCTGCCCACACTTCATAATGCCATTGCACATACCCACTATCAAAATTGCATAAAGCATAGCCTCAATCAACTCTCTTATTTCTGCTATGGAATAATACATAGAATAGAGTGCCGAACATTATTTTATTAATTACATGCATAACATACAAAACAGTAAGGTACATTAAACAACAATTCAGAATCATTCTGTTATCCAAGATTTGACATCCTAGCATTAAATAACTTTTTGTAAACACCTATACCAGCTTGTAATGCATTGTAATTATAAAAATTTGCAATCAATACTAAAATTACTAATTATTATTTTCAAATATGATAATTTATTATTTAAAAAGATTATTTATAAAGGGATTTATTAATAGGATTAATTTATCAGAATTTTTTTAATTATAGCATGTAGAGTGACCACAAAGTTCCACTATAAGCTAGTTAGAAATTATCTGTATGCTTGTTTTCATTCTCAACATAAATATCAAAGTTTCTTCCATTTCTTCTGGACTATTGCTTCCATGTTGATGACAAAGTTATTAAAACAGCCTGTTTTTAGATCTTAATTGTTGTAAAAACATATTTTACAATAACTAAAGAAAATTGTCACATATAAGGTGTGCTCTGCACTCGTGCAGAGCACACCTTCTACACAGATTCTACAGTAAACGAGTGCCCACTGTTTATACATTTCTTGTTAATCATTGCTAATACGAGCATTTTTGTGTCATTTGTTAACACACAAAATGACTACTCCCTTAATGGCGCAAATCATGTGTCAAGATAGATTCCTCCACATGAAAGAAATGCCAATGGAAATTGGGAACACTACAATGACAGTATATGTTGATTCCACAACTGCAAAAAATTTAAATGGTAGATAATTTTATTAGTTTTTACAATTTTATTCTGAAATTTAAAAAATTTCCACACGTTGTATTTAGAGGATTTGATCCCAGGATCTCGAAAATCGGGATCCCGGGATCCCGACTACTTTTCAGTCCGAAAATTTTCGGGATTAAGTTTTCCTAATCCCGAGATTTTCGGGATTGACATCATTTTAAAAAAGTTGCAAAATAGACTGCATGAAGCGAAACGTTCAGTGCCAGTCCTTTTACAGAATTGCTTGCCTATAATTTTAATATAAAATACAAGAAATTTTATTCCAAGCAAGCAGCAGAAATTAACCTAGCGGGCTTGCGATGCTTGCTTGGAATAAAACTTCTTGTATTTTGAACTAAAATGATAGGCAAGCAGTTCTCACTGGGTTACTTGGTAATATACTTCATTTTTGTATTTTTGAATTTTCGCGGGCGCCAATCGATTTTCTGGCGCAGTCGAGAGCACTACTCAGTGCGTTTTACCTGTCAATGTGTCAGCCATCTTGTTTTGCCAGTGTGGTTAATATAGACCCGACGCCTCTCGCTTAGGGGGGTCGACCTTAGGTGAAAAGGTTACGACCCCCGCCTTGCCCGTGATCTGTCAGGATGATGCGAGAAAGTCTTTTTACGTTTGGGAGTAGTGGTTTGCTGGATGCTGAGAGACTCACACAGAGACCGAATTTACAAAATTAACGTGTTTATTTTTAGAAAGGCATGCTTACAATGATCGAAACAATCGGGATTGTAGCCTTTACTCCTACAATCCCGATCTGTGTCGACCGGACTGTTTTCTTCCAACCTCCCCGTGTCCTCGAAGCTATAACTAGAACGGGCTTATAAGTATTTACTAACGATTCCTCCAACTTCCATCAAACCTAAACGCGTTTTCTCAGCAGCTGCATATATGTGCAACAAATTGAGAAGCAGACTTGGTGATGAGACACAGGATGCGTTGTTATTTCTCAGATCATATTTTCGCAATTCAAATTAGAATGTTCCTATTAGATTAGTTTTCTTTATATTTAAGAAAAATGTGACTGATTAATATTATTTTTAAATACTTTTTGCTAAGAAACTTATCTTACTACCTACTTACTAGGTTGTTATATGAAAGTAGTCTATTTAGTCGATGTTAAGAGAGATTTTTGTTAATTTTCAACATTTATTGGCATAGTTTGTTACATAAAGGTTTTTCAATTTATGCAAGTTTAAAGAGATCTCAGTGATGCTTAAAAAAGAATAAATTTAACATGAAGACCGAGTGATTTTAAGTCTGGTTAGTCTGACTCTGAGTCTGATTAGTTAGAGTGATTAAATTAGCTAGGTGTATACTGTAAAATATGTTGATTTTTGTCTAAATTTTGATTTGTTGATTTTTGTCTAAATTTTGATTTGTTGATTTCTGTAAGATTTTCTTATTTTTTATTAACCCTCAATACCGAAATAATCCTGGGATCGACTAAGTATAATCCCGAAATCCCGGGATTAGAAATAAGGACCAGGATCGAATTCCCTAGTTGTATTATATACATATATCATATTTTGCCATAGTACCCAAAATAATTCTTGTTTGACATGCGCTTAGTGCATTTATTTAGTGTACGGCAACATCACATAAAAACATTTAGTACAGTTGTTCCAAAAGTGGCATTACTGCCCCTGGGGGTGATGAGTAAATATAAGGTGCAAAAAGAAGCAAGGGGGCAGCAGGGAATGCTAGAGGCAGGATCTTGATCTACCCACGGTCATCAATCTTTCCTTTTCCTTCGTTACAATGGGTAAGATTGCATTTAATGGTTTCCAGACATGGAGAACAATATATAACAACAACACAGAATGTGAGGTTTGTAGAAAAGCTTTTCTAAGAATATTTTCAAGCTTTTCTCACACAGTAGAAAACAGGTTGGGGACTTTGTGTATAAGTTTATGGAACCAGGCAAGGCGACAACTCGAAAAAGTTTGGGAATTGCCAATTTAGTGCATTTTGTGTTTGTTTGTTAAGTTATGGCAATGCAACACTCTGGCAATCTGCCTTGGAGGATGCCTTCCGAGAGGTCTTTTTAAGGGTAACTGGTCTCTATTCAGGCATTACAGACTGAAACCCAGAAAACTCCACGTGGCCAGCCCGTCCTGACCAGCCACGAACCCACAACCAAACTCCCAGTCTTCAGGGAACGGAACCGCTCGGCCACTGGGGAGCCGTGCATTTTGTGCATCCATGCCGAATGCACCTACAACCTAAATCTGAACTTCAAAGATGTAATATCATATTAAATTCACAGCCAAGCTACTGTCCTCCAAATTTATCAACAGAATATAATAAAATTATGGTTCAGAACAATTGAATGAATTATAAAATTGTTTAAATTTTGTCGAATTAAAATTACATAGAACACAGGTTACTTCAGCATAAGGTCTTTGGGACCACAATACACATATTTAACACTGTAAATCACAAGAAGCGTATAGAATAAAGGATTAATAATCTTTTATTTACCTGACAGCTAAGAGAATTTGTTCTGCTAAGATTGGAAAGTGTCAGCAACAATTGTTTTTCTAACCAAGAATATTTTTGAAAATTGACGTAGGCGCCATTGTCTTTGAATTTCGAGAGTGAACAATAAGGCGAAATTTGTGAATGAAATACGTGAAGCATTCGCCATAATCGACCTCTCCTCAAACGATAAAACATCATGCATCAGCATCCGAACAACAAGCATGACATTTCTGAAACCGACATTTTTTTATCCGAGCGAAAGTGTTGCCAGATCATCCACTGAATTAATTTTTTTAAAAGAAGTTTTAATATTATTAATTCGAAATTTAAAAAATACTAAAATATTATATTTATTATCGACGTGTATGTTATAATATTTAATTATTGCAATTAATCCAATTGGCGAAATTTGAGTTGAATTTGATAACGCGACACGTGCGTTTTAATACCACGGGCTTTTCAATATGGTCTTGTAGAGGCCTGATGGCAGCCGTCGCTCTGGGAGACCCGGAATCGAAAAATTCCAGGGGATTTTTCGACCCGTCCGGTTTCGATCCCGGGTCTCCCAGAGGGTGGTCCGTCCGGATATGTCGGGCTCCATCCCTCACCATCCCGCTGCCCCATTGTGGGCCTGGCCTACCCCACAATGGGCCTGCTTAGTACCCACAGGGCGAAGAATTAAAAAAATATATATGGTCTTGAACATTTAAACATGACATCAATTGGAATTGAATTAAATCATATTAATTGTAGATTAAAAGAAATGTTTTAGTCAGAATGACATAAATGGATGTACTGTACATTTGGCGAATTTAACGAAGAAATATTAATGGCCGAGGTGGTTAAGGCGCAGCTTAGTGTTCTGGGGATCCAAAATTGAATCCGGGCAAGCAAACAAAGGAATTTTTCACGGGTAATCTAACCTGGATATTTTGAGTTCTGATCCTCATCACTCAGTCGTCGCAATATGAACCTGGCCAGCCGTGGGTAGGAGGAAAAAAGTCCTCGTTGCGCCCATAGTAAGAGAAGAGCGAAAAATGAAAACAAAAGTCGATATTATTAACTTTCCAAAGGTCACGTTAAAAAAAACGAACGAAAATACCAGGAATTTCCCCCAAAATGTCTGAAATCAACTATATATATGGGACCCCTTAATTTTCCTTGGTTCCATAAAGCTGTAATGCACCACTGCCTCCAAAATTTGGTCACTAATCACTTCTTGCCTCATCCAATTGAGATGATATAAACGTTGTTTGTTCATATTTTTATATGTACTTTTTATTATGTAATTAAAACTAATTCCTCTGTAACCCCGACCATTCTGTACCAGAATTCTGCTTTACTTGTTACCAAGTCTTTGAGAAATTTGGCTATATTATGTAATTATTTCTTGTATGCATGTCTAATCGATTCTGTTCATTATGATTCTGTACAAAATCTTTCAACCAACTGTTAGAAAACTGACCAATGGATGGTTTTAACAAATCTCAACAAATACCATAGTAAAACAACCACTCTAAACTGGGTAAACTTGATACAGGCAATGACCAAAACTAAAATCCGACAGAAAAAGTAACAGAGATGTTTTCATTCATGGGCATTGTCGGCCAATGATCCCCATTTAACATGCTGCTTTTATAAAATACCATAGCATAGACTCTAAAGTGCCTTGGGCCACTGCTCAGGCATATCGTAAGATTGACTCTTAGGCCACCTTCACACAATCCGAATGTTTACCCAGACAGGTAAAATCGGAGCATTGAATATTGGCTGGATGAATAGCGAGACATTGTGAACACAAGTGTCCATGGTGTGAGTGTCATTCCTTGCAACTGGAGAAAATGTGCATTTTCATACAATCCAGGTAGTTAAGTGTCCAGATAAACAATCGGATCATGTGACCTTAAATAAAGCTTCCTTACAATAGTGCTCCCTTATGCAGACTGCTGCTCTAAAAATTTCACCAAGGAATTAAACAGATTGCCTACTATCAGGTGCTTTGTAAATAGAAGTTCCACTAATATAAAATATAATGGAAAAAATCAGATTTGTGGAAGTGTGCTTCTTCAAGCAAACTACTCCCTTATCCAATGTTAAGTGGACTTGTAACGGTGCAGTGCATTGAATAAAATCTAGTCTCATTAAATGACAGGAACTTCAATGCACCTCATTAAAGTTCCTGTCATGTATATATAGACACGAACTTGAGAGACGTGAATGTGCGCATTCACGTAAATCATGTATAATAATACATAAAGGATGTAAGCACATCTCTAATAAGGTACAATTCAGTGTTAAATTATATCTTTGATATGGGGTAATTGGTCATGATGATGCACATTCACATAAGTTGTACAGTAAATCCTTACATCTTTAATGTAGGATTTAATGTTTAATCTTACTTTGATATGAGAATTTAATTATACGACATTCAAACGAATGAAAAGTTCATTTAATACTTGACATTTAAGAACAAGAATTTATATAATTATACAATTTTATTCACGATAAAATTTATCCCTAAAAGAATATATGTATTCGGTCATTAATTATCATTTTATGACATTAGTTTACTACTTGCAAAAGTCAATAAAGATAAAATTTTCAATCTTTACAATCTATTTGTAATCAAACGTGCCTTACTGAAGAGTCTTAAGTGTCCTATAAATCTGGAACAATAGGAATTATGTTAATCTTTGTTTATTCTTTTACAGGTAAAGCATGGCAATGAGTAAGAAGAAAAGAATTCAAGTTATTTAAGAGAGTTTAACAAGCTTTATCCAGAATTCCCACCATTATAATAATCTGGATACAGCCAGTTAAACTCTTTGGTAACTTCACACTGATTTCAGACTCCACCATCAAAATAATTTCTTCCTTACTCAGTTCTGTCTTACCTGTAAAAATAAACTTGGATTCCAGACTCATAAGTTGACGTGCATTTATTGCAATGACATCAAGATGGGGAGGGTGTTGACAAATGCTGACACGGGGAGAGGGGAAGAGTGTTATTAGAGTCATTAGAGTGTTTGCACATACAAGAGGGGAGAGTCATTAGAGTGTTTGCACATACAAAATAATTCATTTATTTTGGAATATTCTGTTGTTAATTAATTGATAGTGCGAATGGGGAGGGGAAGCAGTGATGACAACGAATTGTATACAGAAAGGGAGTGGGAATAAAAAACGAAGTGAAATCTGTCGTCGCAATATGTGCACGCCACTTAAGACATGCTGGATATAGTTAAAATGCTTTAAAATACATCCAGTTTAGAATTGTAATTTAATCATATTTTTACATTTGTGTCCTCGTATTTTCAATATTAATTTTATGTTATTAAAGTTAAACGAACAAATTCACCATGCTGAAATGTTCATAAAGTAAATACTACTAAAAACACTGTCTTTTCATCATTAATAATGAAAATAAATGCTCATACAAATACTTTCATTTGCTAAAATGTGATCATCAAGCGAAACAAAAAATAAATACGATCCTGTAATAAAGCTCCTAAGCATATGGGCCACACTATTCAAGTCCATAAAGAATTAAAATTTAGAAATTTACATTAACATTATAAAATATGTTTTTTTTTCTTCCATTTTTTACCCGTCAGACATTTTTATAAAGGTTGGAAGTACTTTCCTGAGCATTCTTTTTGTAATTAAAGAAAGTTAACAGTGAAAAGACAGTGTTTTTAGTACTAAAGTTGAATTTCTACATGATTCTACTCAACAATATTTTACAGAATTTGTTCAAAGTTTGATCTTAACAATTTTAATTTTTTTCAGACAAGAAAAATTCATATTTTTCTGCTTCATTAGATTTAAAATAGTTATACCTTTTTTTCTATTGAATGTAGAATTTGACAAAGTTCCTATGCATGATATTGTGCCATCGGTATCTTGATGACAAATTCCATGCACAATGTCAAAACCATATCCGACATAACAGCTTCCTTGAAGAGAATTGAAACAATAATTCTCTTTGGGACAACGTATCTAAGAAAATTTCTTTAACTCCATTTTAAATTACATGTCGGAGACTAAGCACAGCTAAAAGCAGCCATCAGGAACTGCTTTAATGACTTCTAACAACTGAAGTGGAAGTATATGTCGAAAAGAACATGAAAATTAAAATCGGTGTAGAGAATGCGGGAAAGCAACATGAAGGATCTTTGTATCCAAATACCCACTTATATTTACACTAAATTAATGCAATAGCAAGCATTCCTGGAAAGTTTCAGTATCATGAATATTCAACAATGCATCACTTATCAGACATTAACAGCATTAAACCGAAAAACATGTTCTACTTTTGTACAAAAATTTTTATAGAAACAGAATTTGAAATGTACAGTACACGTAACTTCAGAATGATAATTTAACAAAAGCCAAGTTCTCTACAATGTAAGCATATTTTACACTATCGTATTTGTGCACACATTTATATAGCCTTATCATTTAAAACATTATGTAATTCTGTCGACCGAACGTTCGAACAATTAGTAAATATATAAACTATCGCTATATAAATTAAATTTAATATTAGAACATACGAAAATATATTTTCATTGACACTTTTTTATATTCACATAATAATAGGATGTATAAATAGAAATCCACTCGTCGTATCGAGTTTTTTTTTAAGCGTCTCGGACTTAGAAAATGGTCAAGAGGGCGAAAACACCGTAGAGCAATGCACAGGGATAAGCCACGAGAGGCTGTTGATGATCCATAGCCAGAGCGGTGACGAACAATTTGGAAGCCGAAAGAGCACACCACAGAACTATAAAGACGGCCAAACCGGTACCCATAGATCCTTTGAGAGACAACACGATGGAAACTCCAGAAAGGACCACCATGGGAAGAAGACAATACCCCAACACGCTAATGGTGCAACCGACGGATATTCCGGATCCGCTCATGACGTTTAACAGGAGGTACATGGCCAGACAGCCCATGACGCCAATACCGTAGATGTAACCGAAATGCACTTTTCCGCTGAGTAACAGAAAACTTCCAAACGTCAAACAGAAAACCAAAGGACCAGCCAGATCGGATTCTTGTAAAATGACAGCATCGGCATCACGTAATGGATTCAAAACTGCCAAAGTTTTTTGCATAATATGATCGAAGTTAATTCCCAATTCTTCCAGCAGGGGGGGTTCGTCCTCGAAGTTATCTCCCGAAGACGTGTACGTGGGATTCAGTGGTACTGGAGTTAAAATGCTTCCTCTGTAAGGCGTGGATGGTAGTTCTTGATTATAATCGAACGTAGCGAATTGCGGCTCGCTTCCGAAGTCGGAAGAACCGAAATCATAACTGTAATTCCCTCCTCCGCTTCTATTATCCCATTTATAATCGTTACCTCCGTAGTAATCTTGTCCAGAGTCGTACGCCATCTTTGATATTTTTAAAATGATGACGTTGTGCTACCGTGTTTATAGCCAAAATATAGCAATAATTTTATTATTATTTTTAATATTTTTATAAAATTAAATATCTATTTTAATATGAAAATAAATTATTTTTTACTAACGAGTTTTTGAATTTCAGTTTATTTTTTTTAAACTCTTTGTGGGTATTAAGTGGGTTTTCTTTTATCAAGCTCATTATGGGTTCGGCCAGGCCCACAATGAAGCGGCCGGGTGGTGAGAGACGGGGCCCGACATATCCGGACGGAACACCTCCCGAAAAATTCCTGGGGATTTATCGATCCGTCCGGATTCGAACCCGGGTCCCCCAGAGCGGTATCTTGACCGCTCGGCCATCCGGCCGTCACTTTTTATGCCCTGTGGGCACTAATATAACAGGGCCTTTTAGCAAGCCTGTTATGGATTCGGCCAGGCCCACAATAAGGCGGCCGGTGGCGTCACCCCCGAAAAATTTATGGAATTTTCGACCCGTTCGGATTCGATCCCGGATTCCCCAGAGCGATAGGTTGCCGCGTCCAAATTTGAGTTAATGTACTGTAATTTTCGCAAAAAAATAGCTTAGATTTTTTTAAAAATCAAAGTAGAGAGCAAAAGAAATAAAATTTTATATGTCTCATTTACATCAGAATTACTAATTTAATGCGATATACTAAATATAATGGATCCTAATTTCGCTTATTATGAGCGGGCCCGACCCACAATGGGTACGAAAAGTGGACGCGTTACAAGATAAAGCGACTTGAATACAGTTAGATAAGCAAATCAGTAACACAACCCGTTTTCTTTGAAAGGCTGTCATTGGCTTGCTTCTCCAGTTGAATGCATAACTGACAAATGACCAGTGGCGTGCCGTGACATTTGACGATAGGGAAGCCGTGTTTCTGTAAGAAGCCTACTTCCAGGGGCAACCAGTTAATTGCGCGTCAGGATGGTCTAGGGTCCATTCGTATTCGTTTGTTCAATAAAAACCGTAGACTTCTCTAAATGTATTTATAATATCACAATTACATTCTGAATCGCTAGCCACGATATAAGGACTACAATTAAAAATAAAATAATAAAAACTTGGTGAAATAAAATGTGTGGTGGATGTACCGGTACATACCTGGTACAAAATATTCTTCAATACGAATATACTTTTAAAGAAAATTATAATTAAATATAGCTTTGTAAAGAAACGTACATAAAAATATAAAATATTCTTTACTTTTTAAATCTTAAAACAATGCACTTAGTCAAATAGCTCCCTACGAGTAGCTAATGGATGGAATCGAAGATGGTTGCAGGAGCGCGCATACACGTGGACTGCCAAATCCCCAGGGTGCCGATACCGGTTAATGTCAAATGCCTCTTTTGTCGCATCACTAGTATATCTCGAAGGACGCGACGGGGTTGTTGTAAATTTTAAATGTTTCTCGCCGTAGCTGTGAAAATCTAAATATGTTAAACTTAATAGTCATTTGTTTTCTAACTAATTCCTTTTAGGACCAGGTGTCCATGGAAATTTCTAAAAGTTACAACTTTTCCGGTCACTCTCGCTGAACTGGAAAAATTTCTGTCTTTATTACATCTAATATTACGAAGAAATCAGTCCCCACTGTACTTGGCTAGAGATGGTTCGGTTAAGCTTTTAAGTAAAATTCTGGCTCTTTCAGCAGGGCTTTATTTATGTCCCTAATTCCCTAATCTCTTAATTATTTAACTACTTAAGTAGAAATAAGTGAAAACCGGTTACTTTTGTACTTGAATATTTGTAGTCTTCGGAAAGTAGTGGAAAGACAAATTTTTATGACAACGGATACATAAATGGTAAATTTAAGGAAAATAAATTCTAGAGCTTTTTTTGTACCTTGTGTGACTCATTCATTAAATTTAGTTGTAAATAATGCTGTCAAAGTAAGTTAATTTTTTAAAAATTGTACAAGAATTGTTCATGTTTTTTCTGCATCCTCTTATAGATGGGACATAGCCTCTTGTAAATCTCTACAGAAGAAACAAATCATCCAAATTTTCCAAAGCCCACGATAATTTATTTGTTTGAGCTGCCAGCAGCAGAGACTGAATGACCGAAGGTAGCTTCTCTATTTTCACGAGTAGTCCGTTCTGGATATATCAGGCCACATTTTTCACATCTGGTCACTCCCATTGTGAGCCTGGCCAAATCCATAATGGGCAAGTAAGAAAAAGGTCTGTGTTCTTCTGGGAGAAAAAAGTTGCCAACAGGATAAATTATAATAGCATTCAGGGACAAAAAAGACTCCAAACTAACAGTAATTATAATTGTAATGACTTTAATTTAACAATGACTGTTTAAAAGATATAGGCACTAAGAGAACCTTTCTTCCATACCCATAATGAGTTTGACCAGTATCACAATGCAGATTGCCAGATAGTATAAGTTGGAGCCTGATATAAACAAGACAGCCCATTCCTGAAAAATTCCTGGGAAATTACTCACCAGGAATTGATCTTGGTTCTTTCAGAATGATAGACTGATATCTGAAATGACTTGGCCATCTAGCTATCAAATAAACTGAAGTTTAATGGAATTGATATTAAATTACAAATTTATTTAATGTTAGATGCAATGCTGGACTCCTAATGTCAGATGCAGCAGATAAACTTCATTTAATTAAAAAAAAATCTGCAAGATATGCAAGGGACGAAGTCTCATTAGTCACAAAGAATTTGCCATATGGTCATTAAAATTTCAATTATCAGAAGCAACAAATAGCAACAACTCACTAAAAAGTTCAGTCTCACAAATAAAAGGTGTGACAATTTGGTTCCCGGAATGGCATGTATTTTTGCATGCGACGATTGTATCAAAATCCCATTTGAACTAATACATATGTAACTGCAAGCTGATAGAATTGTTAACTAGCTATTGGAGTGGTAATAAAGATCTGCATGTGCACTTTGGAAACATCAACAATGCACCATGTCACACTGCATTCACAGTGAAAGACTTTCGGGCCAAAAAAAATGATTACTCAATTAGATCGTGCCTATTTACCTGATTTAGGTCCCTGTGATTTTTTTGGCTATCCTCAAATTAAAATACAATGGGACGTAGATTTTCTAATATAACCAATATCAAACAGAATTTGATACAGGTACTCAATGGTATTTCTAAAGATGAGTTCCGGGTATGCTTCCAGAAATGGGAATGCCATCTAAGTCAATGTATATATGCACGAGGGGAGTACTTTGAAAGTGACAGTAGCCACTGGTGTACAGTTTCACATGTATATTTTTTAAACATGTAGTCCAGGAATTGTCATACCTTGTACTTGTTCTCTGCATAGTTAATTTACTTCAATATATAAAAACTCCCCTTTATGCTGACTATCCATTTAATTACACAAAATTTTAAATAATTACATTAAAGTGGTTGAGATTTTTTATAGATTATGAATATCTCGCTTAGGGGTCAATGGCGCCGATTAATTTTAAAATTAAACTATGATTAAAAATTGCAGCTTGGCATTATGATAATGTCACAATAAACAGATAATTTGTAATTAAACTCTGGCCTATGGCTTAATCCTTAATTCCAGTTTCAAGTTTCCAGTGACAGCACTGAGTGATGGTAGCAAATATACTGTACCTACTGCCATCACTCAGCATTGCCACTGATTGGCTGATGTATTAGCAATTGGAAATGTTAATACATCAGTCAATTAGATAAACTGTCACATTTTTGAGCATGGGGTGAACTAACACTATATTGGCTATTGAAAGTAATGAGTCTTAGTGGAAATTGCAAAATAATTGACATGTTGGAATTTTGTTTATTGGTGCAATGAGCCACAGTCTTGTAAGACAGTTTACATAGCAACCATCACTATTGCTTGTCACTTCCACTGGAAACATGCTAGCAGAATCAATGCATCCAACATTGAAGTTGGATATTAGAGAGGTTGCATCCGACGTTTTCATTGCCAAAACGTGTACATCGGACATTCAGCACCGCCTTCCTGTAAGCCTAGAAGTTTGACAATGGCATTTTGAATGTCAGTGGAATCATGCTCAACATTCCCAACACACTTTTCAAACTTCTAGGCTTACAGAAAGGCAGCGCTGAACATCTGACTTACACGTTTTTTGCGATTAAAATGTCGGCAGCAACCTCTTTATTGTTCAACTTCAGAGTTGTGTCATCAGAGCAGAAGTGTGCGTCTATAACTTGACATCTAGCAGAGCAAAGCACACATAGTAGAATTCCACAAACTCTGCAGTTGTAGCACTGTAAACTGACTCATACTGTATGTATGGAACAGTTGAGTTTATAATCATATACATTTATAGATTAGAAACTCAGCTCAACTAGTGCAAAATTTTATTTGTTTGATATAATTTCTTCACTTTTATGCAGTCAGTTTACAGTCCAAGCTGCCTTATTGATTAATAAAAATGGTATCAGTACATTTATGTGGAATAGCAGCCACAGTTATCAGCCACAGTTATGGTCATGCATGGTAAGGAATGTAAGTGTTCCATCTTTTATGATTTATGATAAATTATGGAGGAGGTGTAGATTCAATTCAATCCTTAGATCCTCTACAGAAGTAGGCTGGCATCTTACCACACGGTTATCTGACCAACAAAAATTAAAAGAATAATGCTATTTCTAATATAATTTTAAAGATAATTATATAAAATATAAGTAAAAAATAAATTACAGATATGTAAATTAACTAATTTTCTTTATTCTGTATAGTTTAAAAAAAAACAGAATGTCAAAACATGGATGCCAAATATTTTTTTTTCCTAATTACTAGATTTTAATAACAATAACAGTCAAGCAATTGGAAAATAATGTATAAAACTTACAAATAATATGAATCTCACTCTTACAAATTTGGCCAAAACACAATTTCAAAAAAATATTAATATAAACATAAACAAATTGCAAATAAATCAGAGAATAGAAAAAAAAACAAGCTGCTCGTATTGCATTTGAATAATTTAAATGTATCAAAGTTGATATAAAAACGTGTTTTTTTGTACATTCTCCTTTCTAAAATTTATCAATGTTTTGTTATAAAAAACTCGAATTTCCTATTATTAATAGTAATGTTATGGATCGACAAAAGAGATCATGATGTATCGAGTTCCACTAGTGACGGGAAGTCCTTCGTGATAATGAGTGAGACGTCCCGGATGCATCAGCGACCATCCTAATTTCAATTCTGTCACGCTGCAGTTGTAACGAATGAATCTGCATCCACCACCCTAAAATATACAAAATTAATTATTTAAAAATAGCAACTCTGTAATGTTTCAAATTAAAAGTTTACAATTGAGAAGTAAACTTGATGATGCTGCAAGTCAGGTTTTAAATGTTATCACTCAACTCTGTAGTTAATCAATGTTTGAGTTTCAAATGTTTCTCATGATGTACAATAGGGCAATGACGAGAGAGTGACTCATGGCATCATCACCAAGTCTACTCTTCACAAGTAAACTTTTTATTTAATCATCCTTTAAAAGCAACTTCATAAATTGTAAGATTGCATATTTGATCAATTATATTAATTCCGAGTAAAAATCTTTCTTGCCTCGTAATCTATATGGGGCCTATTTAATGCGATGTTAATAGTATAAGTGGATGAATCGTGATGAGGACGAAGGAATGGCTGTTCTTCAGGATGATAACGCACCACAAAGTTCATTATTGCTTTAGGAGGCTGGAAATATTTTAAATGTCAGTTCATTGTGTTATAGCATATAAATTTATTTTAAGTACAAAATATATAATCTCTTATCTAAAATACAAAAGTAAACACACATTTCCTGCTCATTAAGTTCTAAATAATGATATTATTCTATTTTATTATCTTATAATATCTAGAATTTATATAAATGAAACTTTTGAGATGTTTAAATGTTCAATCTTGTTAATTAATGCAAGATACTGTGATGTCGTTCCGCGAACAGAAAACACAATATACCAATCGATTATACACATATAACACAATTCGCTTTTATTTCACTTGTTGAACTAGTTCTTTTTACATAGATACCAACTTACAGGCGATAAAAAGGTTCCCTTACACATACAACAATTAGACTTCTCGAATGGGCAAACAAAAGAAAAACGTGGTGTTCGAGTTGCAACAACGTTATGCGCGAGAAGACTTTTATCTATGGCTTAACCTACTTACAAACTATAAGGAGAAAAGTAGATAGATAATTAGGAATAGAACAAGGGGAAGAAGGAAGTACCCTAGAATATTCTGCTTGCTACATGGTCTTGGATGGGTTGCTGTTTTTGTTAATCATCCAATTTATACTGTCTTTCTCGATCTGTCCCTCTGCTTCTTAGTATACGTCTCTCGGATTTCTCATCCTTTCGATAATCTCTATTAATTCTTTGATGCGAAACCTTCAATCTCGTCCTCAAGAATGTCTAACCTCCATTCTCTGAATCCGTTGTTCGGAGCTCTAATATAAAATATACTGTAATGGAAAAAATCAGATTTGTGGAAGTGTGCTTCTTCAAGCAAACTACTCCCTTATACAATGTTAAGTGGATTTGTAACGGTGCAGTGCATTGAATAAAATCTAGCCTCATTAAATGACAGGAACTTCAATGCACCTCATTAAAGTTCCTGTCATGTATATATAGACACGAACTTGAGAGACGTGAATGTGCGCATTCACGTAAATCATGTATAATAATACATAAAGGATGTAAGCACATCTCTAANTCTTATAATATCTAGAATTTATATAAATGAAACTTTTGAGATGTTTAAATGTTCAATCTTGTTAATTAATGCAAGATACTGTGATGTTCGTAACGAGTTGATATGTCGTTCCGCAAACAGAAAAGACGATATATCAATCAATTATACACATATAATACAATTCGCTTTTATTTCACTTGTTGAACTAGTTCTGTTTACATAGATCCCAACTTACAGGTGATAAAAAAGGTTCCCTTACACATACAACAATTAGACTTCTCGAATGGGCAAACAAAAGAAAAACGTGGTGTTCGAGTTGCAACGTTATGCGCGAGAAGACTTTTATCTATGGCTTAACCTACTTACAAACTATACGGAGAAAAGTAGATAGATAATTAGGAATAGAACAAGGGGAAGAAGGAAGTACCCTGGAATATTCTGCTTACTACATGGTCTTGGATGGGATGCTGTTTTTGTTAATCATCCAATTTCTACTGTCTTTCTCAATCTGTCCCTCTGCTTCTTAGTATACGTCTCTCGGATTTCTCATCCTTTCGATAATCTCTATTAATTCTTTGATGCGAAACCTTCAATCTCGTCCTCAAGAATGTCTAACCTCCATTCTCTGAATCCGTTGTTCGGAGCTCACTTCAGACTGACCTCTCTTGCCGAAATCGCTCTTCCGACAACCTTTCTTCCCATTTCTCCCTCCCTGGGGTCTCCTTACTTTCTTTGTTTTTGGACATTACTTTCCCAAAAAGGTGGTCCCACCCAAGGGTGATAGGGATTAAGAAATTCCTCAAACAGTAAAGACAAAGGGTCAAAGGAAATCTTAAATCTAAGAGGAAAAAAAATATTACTATAACTATAGTATAATATGGCCGACGGCCACAATACTATGCTATTTAGTTTGCATCAGAATGCCACACCAGCAGATTGGCATAAAAAGTATCAATAACTGGTATGTAGTACCAGCAGCTGCAAAATAAAGACAATTTTATATGTTCTGTCACCATATATGTGTACTGACAGTAATTTTTTTTAAAAAAAAAGGCACTGATTAAAAAGTACAGTCCTTTTTATTATTATAATAGAGATTACTTGCACTAAATTCATTTCAAACTATAATTTTCCGAGAGTTCCTCTCAGTAGTAGAAACACAAAGTAATAAAATGTGAGCACTCTAACATACAACAATACTGAGATACAGAAATTAAATTTATAAAGACTTAGTCTTATTCATCACATCTTAGTCTTTCAATTTTATGCAAGAAGTAAATCTTCTAAGTCTTAAATGATGACTGACAAAATAAAATGATGGTCGAATGGACGTGTCGACTCAAATTTCCATGAAGGATTGACCCAGATACGTTGAATCCTGTCAACTCACCATCTGGTAACCCCTTTTGTGGGCTGTCCAAATCCAAAATGAGAATGATTAAAGGACCCTCTTAGTCCTCAGAGTAGTCAGAAATAAAAATAAAAAACTGACAAAATAAGGAATTTTATTTAAAAGCTGTATTGTAAAAAATATGTGCTGTTCTAGTTAGTGCAGTAAAGACTCATTACAGAACTCAAAATATGGATAAATTTCAAAATTACTTGAGGAAAATTTATGTATTGTACATATTGCAATGCAATGTCTGCAGAGGTTGTAATAGTAAGTTGTAGAGATGCTTGAAAAGTCTGGAACTATAGAAGAAATTTCTTTTCAAACAATTGTGATACATGAAAGAAGTTTTGTTAGCCCACTAAGGTAAACACCTAGGAAAAAAAAGAAACACATGCAGTAGATGTTAAAAGATCAATTTATTTTTGCATTATAACTATGTACAGGATTGGTAACGGATGCCAACTCTACGACAGATACTCTGGCGGTAACCCAAAACCTGATTGACGGCTGAATAATTACAAAATATCGCAAATTGTACAAAAAAACTCAAGACTACTTATTACCCAAAAATTTCCTTATAAGTAATCCTTAAAACTAACTTACACTAAAGGAAAGTGGAAAACAGACAATAGGGATGAGAAGTATCAAAGATGGTGGACAGAATAAAATAAAGAAGCTGGGTTGTACAAATGTTTTCTACTGCCATAAGAAACCATGTGGAAACTTCCTAGAGCACAATTTACACTTCTGTCTCCTTTTCCTCAGTCCAAGAGGGTTTCTATAAATTTTTAGTCCAAGTTGTTGATCATCCATCCAATCTCGAAACTCATCAAGTTGAGACACCAATTTCAATACTGTAATGTTGGTCCAAGAAGTTCAGGAGGAGTCTCTCTTCCTCCAAATTGGCTTCACTCGTCTCTCGAGTACTTGACAACACTCCCCATTCTGTTCGTCCTCTCTCTATGAGAATCAGCCGAAAAGTGGCTCTCTCTCTCCCCATGTGTGTCTTCAGGAAACTTTGCATTCATTGTTCTGGCAATTCCAGAAAGTCGCCCTCATCTCCAAGGGGGAAGAATTAAGATTAGAAAGTTCTAGAAGGAAGAAAGAACAAAGAACAAAAGATGCTAAAGACTATGAACTAAAATTAAAATATATTATGGTGTACAGCCACATAATAAAAAAACACATACTTTTCAAAGATTAGATGCATTGTTTTTCTCTTCAACTTCTAATATTGTTGAAGATAAAATACTAAATTACATATTTTTTTGTGAGATCCCCCATACTGTTTGGTTATTCACATATTTTGTAATTGCAGAACATCAGTCAGTTTTATGGATGACTGACAAACTTCAGCCACATATATAAGGGCTTTTCTCAACACAAGGCACGACTGTTCCAGAAGTGAACAGAGAGAACACACATTTTTTTAAAAACTAAATTTAATTAATGTACATTGTGGAAGTTTATATTTGTGTAACCCATGAGTAATAATATAACAGATTATCCAAAACAGAAGCAAAGAGATTTATGTGTTTAGGATGACTTGGAAGATTGGACAAGCTCTGTTAAATTCTGGAGTGGGAATACAAAGTTTTACTCAGATATAACTTATCCCCCTTTTCTGGATGCAGACTTCATTTTACAATAAAAAATGGAGAGGATTAACGAAAATAAATGAGGATCCATGAAGACCGATGCTTGATTGTTCAAACCTCTGAATCGTTTCTTAAAGATCCCCCCTAAATACCTTCCAAGAATGCTTTTTGGTGAACAGTTGATTCACTTCAATAATAAATTGGATCCTTGAAATGTCACTAAAAAGTTTATGAGGATATCCAGAACTGGCTTTTCTGTCCAGAGAAGTATTTCCATCTATATCTTCTCGCTCTTTCAAATTACATTTATTATCTTGGTTGTATCAATAGTAGGATAGTGTTATAATTATTACTATTAAACAAAATATCCATTAATTGATCAACATATATACATGATTTTTACTTTTTACAGTTCATATTCACCCTCTGGCAAGACAAAATTTTCTTTCCTGACTAAACAACTATAGTCATATTTATTTTTCTAACATTTTGTATTGCCACAAGTCAGGTAAACTTCCAATCTCTGATACACAAAAATTCCTCAGTATTGTGTCAAGGGCAATCTCACAGTTGACATCTGCCAAATACAAAGGAATAAGGTATTTGTCTGCAAAAATACCCAAAGTTTGAAAGGAATGTAAACATATTCTTTAAAATTAAATTATTTCTATGATTCTGGACTTTACGAACACATACAAAATGAAAATAATGAAATAGAGATATTATAATTAATACCATATACGTAGTAACTATTGTTCAAACAAAACTACACTTGTATATATTTTTAACTTAATAAAAAAGCAAACTAATAATCTAGAATTGTTGTTATAAAATTACTTTGTAAGCTCATTCTTGGGCTTATGTAAATGAATACATTTCAAGTTAAGATTTCAGAAAATAGTTACAATTATTTAAATTTAATATTGAATGAAATAAAGTAATACTCACGTCATGAAAATAACCAACAAATATTTTTTCCTGTACCGGCCGTATGTATTCCCGTAGAAAATAAAGCCAATGTTGTTCGAGCCCTACTTGATTCATGTGAATATCTCTGGTTGGCACATTTTCGTATCCTCCAGCCAATCTTGGATCCTTTAGTTTCAAATATAAATTTAAGTAACGAAAAAGATATATACAATATAGAATTACAATAATCAATAATTCTGGTAATAAATAAGTTTAAATAATAAATTTTATTTATTAAAAAAATTATTTATTATTAGAGATCCTAAGATTGACATTTATGAAGACAGGAGTTGAAGAANTAGATGCCAGTTTTTTCCACGGAAAGTCATCCAAGGAGGAAACTCTTGGCAAATCGCCCAAGTGTCGAGTTACCTATCCCATCAAACCAGAACATTTAACACCGCCATATCATTTTTAATCAAGTTTTTATATATACAATATAGAATTACAATAATCAATAATTCTGGTAATAAATAAGTTTAAATAATAAATTTTATTTATTAAAAAAATTATTTATTATTAGAGATCCTAAGATTGACATTTATGAAGACAGGAGTTGAAGAATAATAATAAGAGCAGTTTTATCTACATAAAAAGGGATGAGATTAAGGTAAAAGCATGATGGAAATAGGATAAGCTTTGAAATAATTGGCTATATCTAAGAATCCCTGGAAGGAACACCTGCAACACTATATGTATTCATTTTCATTTGTCATTGTCACACAGATTTTTTTTTTATACAATAGCAGATAATATGGGCTAGATGGAATGTCTACTTCATGAAAAATAACTAAGTGGGTGTGTCGACATTTTTTACATAACTTTTAAATTTATATTTACTTTCTACTTCTTTATTATTACAGTAGAGCCTCGAAAACACGGCCTAATGTGGACCGAAGGGTGGCCGAATTTGTGAAAATGCCAGGTTNTCTTAGCAAATCGCCCAAGTGTCGAGTTACCTATCCCATCAAACCAGAACATTTAACACCGCGTAACATGCAGAGAAGACCTTCAACTTTTATTTATTTTTTTTTGTAATATGCAGAGAAGACCTTCAACTTTTATTTATTTACTTTTTTATTTTAAAGACAACATTTTTTACATAACTTTTAAATTTATATTTACTTTCTACTTCTTTATTATTACAGTAGAGCCTCGAAAACACGGCCTAATGTGGACCGAAGGGTGGCCGAATTTGTGAAAATGCCAGGTTATCGGGAATGGGGTTAAAAAAGAATAAGTATGAGTGTTTCCTCAGAAAATATTGTACTGTACTTGTATGTATTGTTTGCTTGAGAATACAACGAGAATAAACTGCCCAAATACCCTTAAACAAAGGAAAAGTACATCCTTTATGAAGGCATAGAGCCTTTACTACATGAAAATGAAAATTAATGAATACACTGTGTACAGTAATTTACCTGATAAGACAGACCTCAGAAAAATACTTTGAGGCATAAAGCTGTCTATAATGAAAATTAATTAACTAAGGATTTTTTTGCCCTACCAAGGTGTGGCCGAGTTATCCAGAGTGCCGGGTTATCGAGTGCCGGGTTATCGAGGCTCTACTGTATTATTTTTTATACGAAAACTAGCAAGTGTTTGCATGGGACCACATCCATTTAAAGGTGGTAGACGTCCTTAAACTTTAACCCCTATTTTCTGATCATGGTAGATTGTTTTTCTAAAACCATATGTTTGAATTGCTCTATACTTGAAGATCAAACCAATATTTGTTTACTAGGAGAAGAAAATCTATTCTACTCAAAACTGAATATTTATTATGGTACCACTTTGCTTTTTACACTTCCTGACGTAAATAATAAAATCATTATTGGAAATAGGGTTACTTTTTGAGTTGTTGTGAAGGTAATTCACAGTTCGGTTTAATTAATTAAGTAAAATTTTTCTTTGTTTTACCATGTGAAAATTAATGTTGCAACAATGATGTTTTGCCATAGCAATGGCAAATTTGCTTTATCAATGTTTGCTTTAAAGCAAGTTGACTGTGAAATGATACGAATAATAATATCTTTAATTCTTGGATGCCCTTAATGAAAGCTATCTGATTAATCAAATAAATAGGTCAATACCTTCTAACAAATACATTGAAAATAATATGTTTGTCTTTAGTTGTAATTATTCATTAACAATGTTTTAATCTAAACATATACTTACTTTATTTGTACCATCAGACCATTGTCCAAAGTTTTCCATTTCCGCAATCAAATGCTTGCAAAATGTAGGTGTAACGACAGGAAACCAGTAAACGTCAGGGCACGGCTGTTAGAAAGTTAACATTAATTATATAAAAATCACAATATATTCTTATGAAAATTTAATTAACTTATTTTTATACATATATTCATATTGAAAATATAATATATAAAAAAAAAAACTAAATACCAAAATTATAGTTTTATTCTATATATAGAATGAAAAAAGAATGCAGCACACTGGATTGACTACAAATAGTGTATTGATTGCCATGATCTTACAGGAAAGTAATGAATACTAGTTCTAGATCATACTAACTTATATTATGACTTTTTATTTTTGGAGAAACTTAAAGGCCAAGTGTACTAAGTGAAGTACAGAACTTGGTTTGATTTGTTGAGATATGGCAACACAACACATGGAAAATCTGCGATGGTAGATGCTTTCCAGGAGGACTCCCTATAGGAAATTGGCCTCTATTTAGGTGTTAGACATATGAAGAAAATTCAAAAAGCTATATGAGGCTAGCCTGTTTATCTGGCACAAACCTGTGACCACCAGGATAACTACCAACGTTTGGTGGTTATATCCACTCTACCACTGGTGATCAAATCACAAAATATGAGCTTACAAATATGCTGTACCAAAATGCTTACAGGTAGTATGACATTGAATGTGCCATATATACCTGCCATTGCTCTTGGATACTGAAGCTTCAAAAACAATTAAGACTAGTCTAACCTAGTGATTCTCAAAGTGTAGTCCATGCCAGATGTACTCAGACCTAGTCATTTTAACAACAGGCACCTGTATACTGTTTAGACAGAGGAAAGAACATTTTTGTACGTCATGTATCTTTTATGTTAAGTTATTGAAAAGACAAAATATTTTGATACATATCTAAGTTGTATTAGCAGACTAAAAATAGACAGGGACATAAATGATCCATGATTTATCTGTGACTTGATTTAAGTGGCCTGTAGATCAGAATAACTTTGAGAACCACTAGTCTAATCTACTTTATATACCCAAGAGAAGACAAAATATAATTAAGTATAAATAATTATTTTGATTTATATCTCTTTAGGAATGTGAGTAATAGAAAAATGCAGACTCTGCATCATCTTTCAGAAAAACACGAGTGAAAAATGGTGTAACTCAAACCTATATCTATTGCCTTTTGTAAATTTTTTCTGAAGAATGCTACAGAAGTTATATTTTTATACTATTGCTGCAGTGCATTTCATTGTTTTAGTTATCTATTATTAATTATATCAAATAAATTTTTAAAGTAACCAGTTAATAAATAAAAAAACTATTTTACCATCTCAACTTGATAATCATCTTTCAGTACTTTTGAGTAATTTTCATGAATATATCTTCGTTCCCAATCCTGTATTTAAAAATAAAGAATGCATATTAGAAAATATTACAATATAATCTTACAAAAAATATTTTTTGATATTAATTAAAATTAGCCTTAATATAGTCAAATTACTCAATGGTTTAGATTTATATTTATATCAATATCAGATATAATTAAATGTAACTTTATTTACTAAGAATTTCAGTAAAAAATAAGTGAGAATTTATTTATTTTGCATAATTATCAAATGCACGACAGCAAAAAATGTCCACCCCACTTATTTAAAAAAAAAATAACCAAGTGTAATAATATACTGTAATAAAAACCAAGAATCGCGGTTCCTTGAAATACTAAAACTAAACTTCCAATACAAGAATGTACAGTAGAAACTCAATTTAATATTTTTCAAAAATGGTTGAAAAAATACTTTAAATTACAGAATATATAAAATCCAAATATTCTTAAAAAGATGCCATAACAAACAAATACATTTGTATATGCATTCCGAATGGATAAAGTGAAGAAAACATGTATATTACCAATATAAATGCTTCCATGAAAATATTCATTTCATAAAATATAACATACAATGTTCAACAATTGGCATCTCGAGAGATATTTCATACAATTTTACACGAAAACTATTAAGCTGTGTTACCATAATGCCACAATGTTTGGATTTGTAGCTGCACATGAATACTGTATCTGGACCACAGAATCTACAGTGATAATGACATATTTTGGAAATTCACTTGATATTGCTACTTGCTATACCAATCTCTGAATCTAGAAATAGTTGCCAAAATACCAAAACAATAAAATGTGGTGTCCTCTCATCAGCGCCGTAACTAGCCTTTTATGCGCCCGGTGCGAGCTTCTGTAACTACGCCCCAAAACTTAGTCCAGGTCATTTCTGCCTGTGCCTGGGCACCACTGGCACCGCCCTAGTTACGGCACTGCCTCTCATTATTACAGGCTGATAAAAAAATCTTGATAATTTGTCAAACTTTTATAAGTTAAACTAATTCACATAAACAAGGTAGAGAAAAATCTACTACAATTTGCAACAAAGATACTGCAACTGTAGCCTATTTTATCAGTAACAGACATGAGAGAGAGGAAGAAAAAGAGATGGAAATAAAGAATGGAATAGATCAGTGTTTTTCAACCTCTGGGTCGCAACCCCCAAGGGGGTCGCAAAGCCATACATGGGGGGTCGCGGGTAAAAGAAAAAGATAAGTGTTTGTAGGTCCTACACTACAATAAAAAAAACTACAATTTCAGTAAGAAGAAGTTCAAAAGAAAATTAAATACGTAGTTTTTAAAATCACTGTAGTTTTAATATGGCCCTGGGGGGTTGCCAGAATTTTTTAACTTTCAAAAGGGTCGCATATTCAAGAAGGTTGAAAAACACTGGAATAGATGATAGTAAAAAGTATACAGAAGGAAAGTTCATCAAGCTCAACTTGTATCATGTACATTTACACAGACAGTAAAATGAGAATTAAAGATTTATAAACAAAGTTTCATACTTACAATTTGATTGGTATATATTTCATACAATTCATTATGAACATGAGAAGTGTCAAAAGATTCACTGTTTATAAGATGACCAAAATCTTCCATGTTACTAATGTACATAAATATTCCCTAGAAGAAAAATATATTATTACATGACTGAAACATTTACACTTATGAATCTTGTTAATTATTCTGTAGATTCTTTAACTGGAATATAATTTAATTCATTTATTATTACATAAATTATTCTGATTTTAAAGTATTTATAATACATTTAAAATTTAAAACAAAAACTACCCTATGATACAATAATTCATAAAAAATAATAGAATAAGTAATTTAATTAGTCTAATTGTAAATACTATGGATGAGCATCAGTGAATGTTTAACTTGGCACAAAAAAAAACATAAAACTCAGAGCTGTTGAGAAAGAAATAAAGAAAAATAAGTGTGTTTTTATGGTTATACAGCAAGAAGCAGTTTGGGAAAAGTTCATAAATCAAATAAAGAGATTGTCCATAAACTATGTACAGTAGAATCTCGTTCTAATGGATCACTTAGGCCACTGAAAATTATCCATGGTTCTGAGAATCTGTTATATTGTTATATTGCAAACAATGGATTTCCTGCACACCGAGGAAAATATCCCTTATTTGATCCCTACATATAAGAAATGCCTGTATGAAATTATTCAGTCTTTCGAGATCTCTATCCATTTTTCTATAAAAACATGTATGTTATAGATCATATATTATGCAGTACACATGTACAACAAAGTTGATGGAAAGTGTATATACTGTAAGCACAAAAAGAGGCAAATTATGCCCATTAGCACTTTGCTTTACATCATGATTTGTTAAAAAACTCCCCCCTTGGTTTGTTTTGATGTCATTTTTCTATGTATTGAATACAACAACTGCTTGATATTAGCAATATTGTGTACAGTATAGTCCATTTGTTTATACCAAACCTCATCAGGAAGATCTTCATGACTTGGAGACTCGATGGCCTCACTAAATTTTGGCACTATACTTGGACTAGTGTCAGAATGTTCATTAAGTAGTTCCTATTCAATCGTATCAACTGGCTCTCTTTCTGTACTATTTTTCAATTGTACATATCCCAGATGAAACAATGCACCATCAAACTCTACAAATTCCTGTAAACACCCAAATATTAACTAAATTAGCAAATAGCATTGTACTTTTTATGTCACTGCTTTGTATGTTAATTGTAATTAATAAAATAGTGTAACATTTGGTACCCTGCACTTTGTATAATTCCTTAGTACAATTAAAGGGGTTGATCAAGATTATGCATTATGTAATTTTGGAAGTGGTATGTGCAACAGTGTTACGGAGCATTACAGGATGGTAAAATGATAGTTGAAAAGTATAAAAAATAAATGGATGATTCCTTATATCTAAATTTAGAGCAAAAATATGTAACATTAATAAAAAACACAAAAATTTGCTTACATTGTCTCTTAAATTTTTGCAGAATGCCATGTCGGGATCCAACAATCCACTTATGAATGAAGGAAATTTTTCTCTAGATTTAAGTAGTAATCCATTTATCAAATAGGCTTGTGATATGTATGGTACATTCCACAGACCCCTGTAAAATTAAATTATTATTAAATAGTATTAAAAAAATAGTGCTTGCTATTCGTTTTAATCTCTACTTTTCCAAATAACATAAGTTAATATCAGACTGCGACAGATCTGAGCTGGACTGATCACAGATGTGGAGACTCCATTAAGCTTGTCAACTCCTGAAGACTTGATTGAGCTGCAATTTGTATACCTATAAATTCCCACTGTCATCTGCCTATCTGTCCTTCCTTAATCTCGAGAACAATGTTAGATAGATAGATAGTTAGTTAGTTAGATACGAGTTAGTTAGGTAGACAAGACTAGAAATGGAAAGCTTTGGGGCAGAAGGCTCCGATTAACTGTATATGAACTTATATTATAACTGTATATCCGGTCTAGACAAGAAGTCACATGAATTCAATTCAAAATTTTCCCCAGAAGGGAGTGACATAGATGACTGACTCGACTTTGTTGTTATCAGAAAAAGTACGATGCACAGAGGCAAGACACTACTAATTTGAGATTGAGAGCATATATTTTAAATTAAATAAATTAATAATATGATTAAAAATTTCAGCCTAAAATCGTGACAATGTCACATTAAATTTTGGCACAGGTTTTATTGTATAATACATAGAAACTCTTGCATCACAATTTCAAGTTTCTACTGTAGCTACACACCTCCGTCTGCATCCATACCATTTGTTAAAGTAGTCTTGACAACTAGTTTTGTGTAATATCTTTATGAGGTGTAATTGCTGCTGTTTCCATCTGTGTGCTGATTTAAACCTTTCAATTTAGGAAACAGCTAAGTATTTGAGGGCAAGATCAAAAAATAGAGCGACTGAAGAAGCATTGTTATGCATTTCTTTGTGAGATATCCATTAACTAGGAGTAAATGATAGAAATCAAATGTGGAAGCTAGAGCAAAAAAGTTGTTAAAGCCATCACAAAAAGTGGTTTTCAGGACTGTTTTGACAAGATGCTGGCAAAAACGTGTAGCTGAAGAAGGAGCTTATTTTGAAGATGGTCTTTTTGCAAATATCTGTATTATTAAAATAACAAAAATTACATTAAAGTTTAGTTTATTTTTGATCACTTATCACACAAAGTTGAATGAAAAAAGGAGAAAAGGATAAATTTGGGAGTTGAAAAATTTCCAATTTTTTTCCAAATTTTGGAAGTCTCTTGGCAAATTGGGAGCAATTGCAACTCTATACCTCATCCTCTCTCAAAACTAAACTATGAATAAAATCAATAAAACAAATAAAACAGACATTTTTTTTTATAATTTACTAAAAGGAGAATTAAAGATAATTAATGATTAGAGAAACAAATATCTGCAATTTACTATTCCAAATACAGTATAATTATTTGATACTTGATACATGAATAAAAAAAGTATGAAAAGATGGCTAGATAGCCAATTGGTTATGGTGGCAGCCTACTACTCTGGAGGACCTGAGATTGAATCCAGAGGGGGTTGAAAAATTCCCAAAAATTTTTCAGGGGGTGATCTGACCATATATGTCAGTCCCTGTCCCTCACCACCCGGCCGCCCCACTGTGTGTCTGGCCGAACCCATAATGGGCTTAATGAGACCCTCTTTGTGCCCACAGGGCAGAACCCTGCATTAATTTAATGTGTTGATGAACTCATTCATCATCATAACATATACAGAAAGTATCAGAATGATGTTTTAAAAATTTGGAGGATTGTAGAGGATGAAATTCTGAACACTTTGATATAAAGAACCTATAGCTGGAAATGTGATATAAAGTTTCTGCAGCACTTTGCATGTTCTATGCAGTCAGTATGCTGAATGAAACAGCAAATTACAGTATTTATGACAAGTTTTATTGACAAAATAGTAGAGTACAATCAAACTAAACATTGAATCAGTGGCTGTACTACTTTAGAGTAAATGTTGAATGTGACGACCACCAACTTCGTTACATAATGTGCAATGACAAACTATGTTTTGTCAGTCCCTCTGTAAGATGCCATGCTCCCCTCTGATGGTATTAAATGCGTAAAGATGGCTCCTTAAGCTCATGAACTGTTCCTACAGGTGTTGTGTACACAAGGGACTCATGTTGACTAGCTGTGTGTTTACAGCACAGCGCCGGTGAATGCAAGGGGTGACCTGAAGGATGACAGGCACTAAGTTCACAACATCCTGTACACAAGCTCAGTTAGACCACTGTAGTTGTGTGTTTACAGTCTTCCATCCGCAGCAATAACATGACGTCAATGGACGGAAGGGTAGCTACCAAAGTGAAGGGCAGTCAAGCACTTCCTACCGCTGTAGACACTTTAGTTCAAATTTCCAGTTATAGGTTCCTTATATCAAAACATTCAAAATTTCATCCTCTATAATCCCCCAAATTTTTAAAACGCCATTCTGATACACCCTGTATAAACCTGTGAGAAGTGGAACCTCCTTACGACAGAAGCTCGTGTAAGCTAAAGAAATTGCATTCATTTCTGCATTGTTGTCAAAATTTTTCCACAAAATAACCTGTCTAAAACGGAACCTGAGTAATCCGGACAAAAAGCTATATACTTTATATGTTATACCTTTGTTATTAATTTGTATTGATTAGAATCCATAGATATACAGCAGAGGTTGCAAACTAGCGGTCCGTCAAGTCTCTTGGACCTGGAAGATCTCTTGGACACTGGTCCACCAGTGGCCAAGAGATCTTCATTCCCTGAACACTGGGAGTTCGGTCGTGGGTTCGTGCCTCGCTCCGACGGGCTGGCCACATGGAGTTTTCTGGTTTACTCCATGTCTGTAATGCCTAAATAGGGGCCAGTTTCCCTTAAAAAGACCTCCCAGAAGGCATCCCCCTAGGCAGATCGCCCAAGTGTTGCGTTGCCATAACTAAACAAACAAACAAACAAGCCGTCAAGTCTTCATATCAGGCCCTTGGCCTTGACGATTTCTAAAAAATCCAGCAACGAATTGCTTAACTTTTCCGGCAACATTTGGTGGCGCTATCTGTTACGATATTTTATTACTAAAACCTTTTTATATTTTTAACTATTATAAAATGGCAAAAGGCTGAATTTTCAGAATAGGGATGGGTTTTATAAAAAATTGTAAATGATAATAACTAGTAAAATCGTCATTACGTCCGACCCTACTGGAGATACACACGATCCTCTTTATCTCTCTCCCCCGTCGACCTTTAACCACCAAAACTTAATGGCATCAATCCTCCTAATACACAAACCGCCCTGAAAAATTTCGACAAAAAGCACAGGAGTAATTAAGCTTCAAAGAAGGCGCTATTCACCCCGTGTGCCCATACACACTAACATCAATACATACAGAAGAAATCCCCGAATTTTTTTTTTTTTTTTTTTTTTTTGTATTTCTCGACGTTTCAAGATGTCCCGAGCCCAAAAAATCTCTTCCCCATTACTTCAAGAACCTCTGACATTGAAGAAATGACTAATTTACCCGCAACAAATTACTATTGCTACTTAAGTAACTGGAGACTATGCTTCCTACTCTATTTATATTCGATTTCGGTAGAAACTTCGGAAAATATTTTCTGTTTCCGTCTAAATTTACTCTGTATTCTATGTATTTGTGTTTTGGCCCAAGTCCATTTCGATTTTAAAGCAGCAAAAGGACTTATCTGCTTTGTCAATGGATTAACATGTTAAAAAATAAAAACATTACGGAAAATTTTGATTATTTCGTCGTTAATTATGACCAAGACAGACAAACGGAGCTACTTTTACAGTGTCGAATTTCAACAAGTAAACGACCCAAAATAGCGCCCAAGGGACGAGTTTCATGCTTCATCAACGAGCTAACCACATGGGGATTTCCGGGTACTCTTCAGGTGTCTAACACCTAAAATAGATGCCAGTTTTTTCCACGGAAAGTCATCCAAGGAGGAAACTCTTGGCAAATCGCCCAAGTGTCGAGTTACCTATCCCATCAAACCAGAACATTTAACACCGCGTAATATGCAGAGAAGACCTTCAACTTTTATTTATTTACTTTTTTATTTTAAAGACACACGAAAATGTGCGCACACTAGCGCTATATTATAATTAAGCTTATAGCCTACAAGTGCGTTATTAGATTCATTCATACGGATCAATAATATTAATTCTAAACGATATTAAGGCTAACTTATCAATAGCTTCTATGAAGAACAGGAGGAGCCACGTTTAAGGCCAATTCTTGGCCTAAATAGAAGAAATATTGCTGTATTTTCTTCTAACAACAAACTAATTATTTATTTTCTAGGCTCTAAATGGCCTTAAGTTTTATACCCGATTTAGGTCACGTAACGTGTGGCCTAATAATCATTTAACAGAAAGAATTTTGTCTCTAACAATAAAAATTTTAAAGCTTCCACATTGATTTAACGATTACCTACAAAATTTTTATTAAAATATCAAGGAAATGTTTAATTAACATTAAACCTAAATTCTTAAATACAATTAAACAAATACATTAAGAATTTTATCACAAAAATTTCACACTAATCCTATACATTTGCACGTTGTGGTGCATCGTATATTAACAATTTACGTATTTTTTAAATTAAATTAGATAATATTTACAGCAGTTTTGTCCGTAAAATCAATTTTACTAGGAAATTGGTTAGATTTAATGTTATTAAATCAATAATAACGGTCTGCAGCTTTGCTCGAAATGAATTACACGAGTAGATCAATAGGAACGGGATCGGGAGGAGGAGTAAGCAATTCTTCTCTACCTCTTAACTAAATGCTGCATGCATCTAGACGTTCAGGTAAGTTTATAATACGATTTCTCCTCAAATCTCAAAGGATATTTTAATAATTAAACGAAATTCTTGTATCACTAAAGCTTAAAAACTATATGTGGATGGGTTAAGTTACCCAAATCAAACGTCGAATCTATACTCGTCCTTTCAAGACCGGGGTCTATCGATTATTTCTGTTAACAGCACTCCAGAAATTTCTGCAGCTCACCGTTATAACTAAATTAAGAATCTTCTACACCAGGTTACTGTTTAATTGGCAATCAGATCGAAGGAATTGACTACTTTAATCATTTTTCCTCTTATTTCTTACAGGTATAAGGATATAATGACCCGCTACACGGTGTTGATTTTGCTGTGTATGATATTAGTGATGCATCTAGCTATCATCGGTGATGCAGCCAGAGGTAAATCACGGAAGAGAACGAAAGGGAGTAAAAAGGGCTCTCCTAGATTCATTTTCTACACGCATCCCCGTCGGAAAGAATACTATGACAATCCTAATGTAAGTTTCCGTATCTTTATTCATGTGATTGATTATGCACCTCACTAGTTGCAAGGTGCTCTTAAGTAATCAATAACAAAAACACGCATCAGGACAGATGTAAGATTCTGTCCTGATTTATTCTGTCCTGGGTTTATAACGGCAATCACGTAGATTTCCTCACGACGAATTAATTATGTAGAAAAAATAGCTTTTGGCTAACGTAATAATAAATTTCCAGAATATAAAGTGAATTCATAAACATCAAATGGGCTTTCTTATATATGTTAATAATAGAAAAATGCTATTGATTCTATTTAGCACCTAATTGCGGTGTTAATCGTTGCAAAATGGAAGATTGGAGAAGATCCATCTTGCTGTTTTCTCAATTTTCTTTACGTTATATATATAATTAAACGTATAGATTTTGATTAAAAACCTATTGTTTAATTAATAATTTACATGAGATAGAAAACTTCACAAATTCAATTAATTAATTAATTATTTAACTTCAAATCAATATCGTTCAGATATTACTTAAAGATCTGAAGTAAACACAACATTGGCATTTCTTCACTGAATCTATTATGAAGTTAACAGGGGCTAATTTATTGGATGTTGTTAATTTCATAATGGGATTTATAGAATGAGCGCAATGTGAAGAAGCCCTCCTGTGAGAACTTTCTATGGTAAAGTTATAAACGTGAAGAAAACCCAGAAAACTTTACGTGAGCAAAGCACAAACCCCTCAATCAATTAACGGTATTTCGAAATATAAACTGAGAAACTCAAAATTCCTCTTGTAAAAGATTAATGTTCCGAAATTCAAAGTTTCCCAAATGTTTTAGAGGTTAAAGGTTAATAAATAAGTATTTAGTTTTGCTTCGTGGGAGACTGCAACAACACCTTTAACAAATCTTGTCATCATTTTAACTTTTGGAGGACGATGTGATAAATACATGATACAATATTTTCTTGATCATCCCTTTGTTAGAAATTTATAAAGTACTAAATTCATTACTCAACATTTGTATCTGAATATTAATTTAATGAGTCGAGGGATGACGGGCAGCACAAATTCTCCTTTCCTGAACAGGGATCCGGGTTCGAATTCCATTCGGACTCTCGCAGTTTTCCGATATTGCGGATGGGACTAACTTTTTTCTTTATCCTTTCTCCATGACAGTTGACTTCCTAATGGATTGAGCTTAATTGTAAAGGGTACGAATGAGATAGTGGTCTTACACATTAATTGGTTTGTTGGTTCCTTCCAAAAAAAAATTTTTATCTGTTCTTTTAATTAGATTTTTCATTTACTAATCGTAAAAATATGTCACAGTTTCACGCTATTAGGTTACGATTAGACAGATTAGAACCTGAGTTAATGCCAGAATTTTTTACAGGCATTTTTCTTTCCTGCTGTGTTGTAGGATCGATTACATATTGGATTAATGGAATATGGTTAAGCAATCTACTACGGGGGATGGCTTTTTCTATAGACAACTGGGCCCTATTTATATGTTAGACAGATGAAGGAAACCCAGAAAACTCAATGCTGCCAGCCTATTGAGAAGGTGATAACACATAATCCACTACCAGTGTTTAGTGGTTTTATCTACAGCACTTGGCAACTGATGGACCATAACATGAATGCATCTATATGATCCATTTCACTTGTTACATTTCATCTACATCATCAAATTAATAAAATCATTATGATTTTGAATTTTTTAGGCTATATAATAGTTTCATTCAAATTTATTGGATCTTTTCCAATCATAACCATCAGAATACAATGTATGTTTCCACATTGTAAGATATAAGAATATAAGATTGCATCTAAAAATAGTTGCCTGGATATATACAGAAACTTCTACATTGTTTATCAATCTGCTGATGCAAGACACCAATACACTATAGTTTATACGGTTAGATTCTTCACAGTTATAAACTCAATCCTATTATCCTTGGTTGAAGAATAGTATCTGGACAGGAATACACTTAAAAAATAATCATAAGAATTTTCTATGCATGGCTGAAATTAATCTTTTGAAACATTAAAAATATCTTTATAGAATTCTGAATCAATAGTATCAAATTTGTCCAACACATTTATCTTATCTTACTATAATCATAATGTTAAATGTTTGCAGTTAAGAATTGGCATCTAAACTAAATGTAAATACAATGCTTCTCAAACATATTTACTCTATTAACATGAAATAAAAAAGTATGTTTTGTCTTTGTACAGGGTGCTCAAATAACTAAAGCATCTCATTTTGATTACGAGTTTTTACTTGGACATAAAATTGTTTTCATATGTGAAGCGAAAGGAGATCCACAACCAAGAATTAACTGGTTTAAGGATGACATCGAACTCTATGCACATCCTTTTATAAAGGTAAATTACGTATTATTTAAACATATTCTAAAAATAATAAATACATATCATTTTTAATCAAGTGTTTATATATACAATATAGGATAAATTAAGATATTTTTATCTTAGAATCTAAAACAACCCCTTAATTAAAGGAGCAACTAGACTCTCTGTCATCTGGGATTAACTAAGATCCCAGTGCCATGTCTTGTTCCAGAGTTGTGGAATGTTGATGACATGTGATGAATCAATCATCACCAGTCTAGCTCCAGCCATACATATCCTTTCCTCTCAGTGCTCCCTTACCTAGCATCAGTAAATTATCCAAATAATATTCCTAAATATATTCCTAAATAATTCAAATAATTACATCTCTCTCCTAAGTACCAGGTAAGGGCAACCCTCTAAGCTGGTACTTGAGGCATATGTCCTGTCTATTCTCCTAATTGCATCCCTGAAGGAAACTAAGAAAAATATCAGAAATGCTCATTCCTTATATAAATTGTAACTTCAATGTTTTTGAAATTTAATATTTGCTCTACTTTTAGATTGTAACACATGGACCAGATTTAATTTATATTTGCTCCAATCCTAAGTTATAAAATATAAGTAACACTTCTTCTCCACTAAATAAAAATAAATAAAATCAGAATGCCTTAATCTATAGCTTACATGTAAATCTGTTCTTAGTAACACATCTGTGTTACCAAAAGACAAATTAAGGTAAACTTTACTTGTTGAAAAGTATCTGCTCCTGTAAAGCAATTTAATTGACTAATTTATTACATTTAGGATTACAAGAAGTTATGTTGAATATAATTTAATATAATTTAATTATTGACATATAATGTATTGCAGATTACGGAATGGCAGCTGAAACCCAAACACATCAAAAGCAAATTAGAGATAACACCAGCTCGTCAGATGGATTCGGGGATGTACGAATGTCAAGCCAATAATAAATACTCAATCGACAGTAGAAGTTTTAAAGCAGATTTCAGTACAATTAGTAAATAAATCAATTTAATGAAATTAACTTCTGGTATGTAATTAGAAGAACAAAGAATATGAATACTGTATTTCTTTGCATTTTTTAAAAAGAAATCTGTATTAAATAACTATTAATATCATGTGCATTTTAAATTATAAAAATAATTTTTGCTTCTATGTGGAAAAAGTCATATGAATATATCAAACATAATGTTTCAATTATATATTACTGCACATTTTAAAATATTATAAAGTATATTTTACCGATATATAATGTTTTAATTAAATTAAATGAGATAAATTTAATAATAATTATGTAATCTTTTGTAGGAAATATTATTTTTACATTAAAAATATTGATTTGATTTGATTATTTATATATAGGCATTATCATAAACAAAAGGGAAAACAATATCTACTAAAATTTTTTTATCCATATAAAAGTTTATAGTAAAATAATTTATACTAATGCAGTTGTATTAATAACAATATTGCTCTAATTTAAATGAAAGAAATACAATATCAAATTAATAAATAAGCATCTGAATTTAATGAATCAATCAGATCCTTGCAGAATTCTATTATTATTATTAGTTTTTAAATTAAAGTATGAATTTTTCTTGTAATAGTTATGATTTGCACATATTGTACCAATAATATCAGCTATAAAAATCCATGGTGGATAAATTTTCCAATGATGTAACTAAAGCAGAAGTTTTATGAATTAAATCTTATGAAAAATAAAATCTGTTTTCAATATCTATCTTCTATACCCACAACATGTTTACAAACAATTGACAATATTAGATTAAATAATAATGTTACAAATGTGCTTTCACTGGAGTCGCACATCAAAAATTCTGACTATTCCAACATTTCTCGTCCATCATCGGAGCCTAATTACAAAAAGCAAACACACCGAATTTCTTATCAAACAGTACTTCATATAGGAACATCTCTCTTTAAATTTATGCATTCCTTCTTCTACACAATGCTTCTTCTTACCTTTCATGATCTAAATTAGTTTAAATTACATTCTCCTTGTAGGAAATCAACTACTTTTATATTTCTCTTGCTTATCCTTCCTTACTAGTCATATGGAAATGACTAGTAAGGAAGTATTTAGTACAACTAGTAAGCTGACAACCAAGACCAACCAATTTAGTTGGAATTTAGATATTATAGTATGTGTTGATACATTAAATAGTAAATACTGTAGATGCATATAGAATTTCTAACATAATAGACATTTTCTACATTATAAATCAATTTTATTTAAATGAAGTTACACTATTACATTTCACTTGGTTATAATTTTAGAAAGGAAGCTAATCTGTTATTTCAGTAACAATTTATCTTCTCGATTAGTTTTAAAAGTCAGTATTGATTGGAAATAAAGATATAAGATATAGCTAATGACAAAATCTTAGTTACAGTTATAGATAGAGAGGTATTGGTTTGTCAAGAAAGCTGCTCTAACAGGAATCCTATTAAAACTGCTTTGAGAGGTGGTGTAAATCGGAGTAGAAACAAATAGATTAACAAAGAAACATTCTATGCATTTATTTTTATTTATTTTAAATGGCTAAAGAGGCCAAATACATGCCTCTCTGTGACTACAAGTGTTCAGTAATTTTATCCACTGAGCTACTTGTGGTGGGTGTGATTCTATTAACTATTCAATGCAACGACAATTTTACTATTAACTCCATTTGTATGATGTAATAAATTAATTTAACAAGCGTGCCCATCAATGACAAAGCGCATAAAACTACTAAATACTAAAAGTGGGTCCCGTGCTGCATCAACGTGCAGTTTTCTGGGTACTCTTTACGTGTCTAACACCTAAAATAGAAGCCAGTTTTTCCCATGGAAAGTCATCCAAGGAGGAAACTCTTCGCAAATCGCCCAAGTGTCGAGTTACCTATCCCATCAAACCAGAACATTTAACACCGCGTAACATGCACAGAAGACCTTCAAATTTTATTTATTTTTTTTTTATTTTAAAGACACACGAAAATGTGCACACACTAGTGCTATATTATAATTAAGCTTATAACCTACAAGTGCGTTATTAGATTCATTCATACAGATCAATAACATTAATTCTAAACGACTTTAAACTTAACTTATCAATAGCTTCTATGAAGAACAGGAGGAGCCACGTTTAAGGCCAATTTCTGGCCTAAATAGAAGAAATATTGCTGTATTTTCTTCTAACAACAAACTAATTATTTATTTTCAAGGCCCTAAATGGCCTTTGTTTAAGTTTTATACCCGATTTAGGTCACGTAACGTGTGGCCTAATAATCATTTAAGAGAAAGAATTTTGTCTCTAACAATAACAATTTTAAAACTTCCACATTGATTTAACGATTACCTACAAAATTTTTATTAAATTATTAAGGAAATGTTTAATTAACATTAAACCTAAATTCTTAAGAACAATTAAACAAACACATTAAGAATTTTATCACAAAAATTTCACACTAATCCTATACATTTGCACGTTGTGGTGCATCGTATATTAACAATTTACGTATTTTTTTAAATTAAATTAGATAATATTTACAGCATTTTGTCCGTAAAATCCGTTTTACTAGGTAATTGGGTAGATTTAATGTTATCAAATCAATAATAACGGTCTGCAGCTTTGCTCGAAATGAATTACACGAGTAGATCAATAGGAACGGGATCGGGAGGAGGAGTAAGCAATTCTTCTCTACCTCTTAACTAAATGCTGCATGCATCTAGACGTTCAGGTAAGTTTATAATACGATTTCTCCTCAAATCTCAAAGGATATTTTAATAATTAAACGAAATTCGTGCATCACTAAAGCTTAAAAACTATATGTGGATGGGTTAAGTTACCCAAATCAAACGTCGAATCTATATTCATCCTGTCAAGACCGGGGTCTATCGATTATTTCTGTTAACGGCACTCCAGAAATTTCTGCAGCTCACCGTTATAACTAAATTAAGAATCTTCTACACCAGATTACTGTTTAATTGGCAATCAGATCGAAGAAATTGACTACTTTAATCATTTTTTCCCTTATTTCTTACAGGTATAAGGATATAATGACCCGCTACACGGTGTTGATTTTGCTGTGTGTGATATTAGTGATGCATCTAGCTATCATCGGTGATGCAGCCAGAGTTAAATCACGGAAGAGAACGAAAGGGAGTAGAAAGGGCTCTCCTAGATTCATTTTCTACACGCATCCCCGTCGGAAGGAATACTATGACAATCCTAATGTAAGTTTCCGTATCTTTATTTTAATCATGTGTTCGATAATGCTATGTACT